CTGTGGGAGAGCATTGGAATGGATCGATCACTTCATATTCACACTTATTATGAATTATTATGAAAGCATAGAGAGGAGATTAAAAGTAAGGGATCGGTGGGTGCCTGCAGTGTATTTTTAACTCCATAGAAAGCTATTAGGTTTCATCCGACACTGGAAGACTCTTTAGGCAACTGAATTTACTGTGGAAAAGCTCCCTCTTTTATCTCTCACTGCTTAGCACAGGCATTCAAAACATAGCAGAATTATAAACATAACTGTATTATATATAGCACAGCCTGACGCATAGCATCCGGTAACAAGAGCTGCCAAAAATATATTACATTACACAACTACAAAGAACCACAATGCATATCAAATGGTACTAAGCCATAAATGCTTCATGGTTCTATATACATACAATCCTGCTACAATTACATTAAATTGAGATATGAACTTGCCGGCTTGATATGTGAGAAATTCTCAAAGGGTCGTTATAGGCAACTTTTTAGTATATTAAATAGATGATACGTTTAAAATTATTGCTGAAAGATTAATTTAAAAAAAGATGCACCCCTTTCCTCTGAAGACTAAGAAATACTTTAATCAATGTAACTTGCCTACTATTTTAAATGAGGTTGTGGACTCCTTCAACAGATTTTTAATGATATGGTTAAGGCCGCTTTAATTGTTTAAGGTGTCAAAGGATGGGAAGTGGACATCTTTTCAACGTCAAGTTTTCTGATCTCTTCATCTTTTCCCCCCCAAATTTATATTTTATTTGAATTTGTACACAAAGTATAATGAATTTTCATTGTATGAGAGTAATGTGAACAATAAAGGTAGGGAACAAATAAAACAAATAGAACTGTACAATGCCAATCTGCAGCATTACTATGGGCAAAGCTCTGACTACAAGTAATAATAAGTGGCATATATATAACTGGAGCAGGCATCATAGTAGGTAAGCGACAAAGAACATGGCAGCGCCCTATATTCTGACTATAACAGGTGTTTATGGTGTGTGCTCTGGAGTGAAGTGACTGAAACCTGCTAATTTGACTTGCCAGCACATCGTTTCTCGAGTGGTAAATCCCTCCGGGCAACAGCCTCTGCTGACGGCATGGCTGGAAACCCAAGTGTCTGTAAGTACATCCCTGTATCCCCGGAGGTGGACAAGGTGAGTATTATGTCTCTGTGGGGGACTAAAGAAAGCCTTCTACTGCCCAGCAGTGCGTGTAACCAGCACCAACTATCTTCTCTTTGTCATAACTGTGAGCCATAATTGCACTTCTCAGCGCTACATATCTATCTGTCCCTGGGAGCCTCAGCAGGAGACTTTTGGCCGTGCTGTGTAAATACATCTACCTGGCACAGAGTGTAATGTAGCTGACGGTCCCTATACTGCTCTTGACTGCACTACTTTTATTTTCTGGAGTTGAACACCTATCTCTGTCTGGGCCTCTAGTACAAGGGAAGGCAACCTACGGCACTAAAGATTTTGTGGACTACATCACCCCTGATGCTTTGCCAGAATTATCGCTGTAAGAGCATTATGGGAGATGTAGTTCACAAGATCTGAAGTGCCAAAGGTCCCTTAACCCTGTAGGTCAGCCTTCCAGGCCTTCCTCAGAACCAGCAATATTGTCACTCTTCGTAGATGGATAAGAGTCTTCTTCCAGTTCTGTAATCTGGTAAACTCCACAACGTTAATGTGATGACAGTGACTCCTCATCTTCGTATGACAACTCCAAGGCATCCAGTTCACTATGTGCCTCAGGTGCCATCTTTGGAGATGGGGGCCTCTCAAGAGAGAGCCTGATATCAGGCAAATAGGACCTCTCTAGGTGAAAATTCTTCTTATTTTTGAGTCCATTGTGTCACCCATTTGGGGATATATATCAATTGTGTCCAGAAAGCCTCTGAACAAGGCAAAAAATACTTTTCTGCAGGACAGTAACGGAGCCCCACAGGTATGCGTCTAATCAGTAGCTTAGTCAGCCACGCCCCCAATAACCCATCTTTGATGGACTCCTGTTAGGCCGTGAAAACTTAATCTACAAATATGGCCCCAATTTAATAATTTTTAATAAGCTTTTCAAATGATTTCATATTTTTTAAAAATACTTTAATATAGTAATATTTCTTTATTTATATTTTTTAATGTGATATATTTTTTTTAATATTTAGAAAAAAATCATCTTTTTTTACACTCTTTTTAAAACATATTTAACAATTTGAAAAGCTTTTCCAAAAACATTAAATCAAAGCCTATGTTAGAGGCTCTTATAGTCGTTATCCAAAAAAAGGGCAAAGATCATATCTTGTGCCAGAACTATCGCCCTATATTATTGATCGATATTGAGGCAAAATTGCTAAACTGCTAGTTCTTTGACCTAATTCATTATTAATAGTCTTGATATACCCAGACCAGATATGGTTTAGGGAAGCCCAGATAATATTAGAAGGACTATTAACAAAGTCTGGTGAGTTGGGGGTCTCATTTCTGTTGTGCTTTTAGTGCAAAATGCCAAAAAGCCTTAAACCATATTGACTGATGTTACTTATGGGAGGTTCTGGCATTTATTGCATTTGGGTTCAGATGGAACTTTTTTTCCAGGATGTCTGGGCTTTATAGTCATGGCCTGTAATTAGAGTCATTCCCTATCAGAAATTGGAGTCAGCAAGATTGCACTCCTTCACCCTATCAATCGAGCCTCTCTTTAGGATGTTTGAAGATCGTCTGGATGTTGGCGCAGTGGACAATGGGATGGGGGGAGCACAAGTTGAGTCTTTCTCTTGATGATCTCAATCTCTGTTTGACTTTCCCAGCAACATCCATGCCTAATGTGTACTCTATCTTAGTGTTTTTTGGGTTATTCACTCCATGAATATGACCCTCCAAGAAGCCCAGGTCTTACATTACCCACACCTGGTCTGTGTCTGTTTGCGGCTAAGAACAGCACCTGTCTGCATTTATGCAATCATGAGGGCCATGATACACTAAATTCTCTACCATTTCTGGATCATTTTCCTCCACATATATACATCTGATTTGGCATGGTTGCAAGCGGGCATTTACTCATTTACTTAGACAGAACAAAAAAGTAAATTGCTAAAATCCCTACTACACAAACTGAAGGAGAATGGGGGACTGTTGATGAGCTATCTTATTACAAAGCAGTACAGTTTGCTGATTTTCCCAAATCATTTAGCCAAATGATGAGCTGGATGGGTCACACTTAAGGACATTATGGGATCACCTTGCCCACTTCATACTATCTTGAGGCTTCTCAATCATTCTCTCCCTCGTCTCATCCTAGTCTGACCATACAACATTCTCTCCGTTTACGGAACAGATTCTGGGTGATGGCTGCATATGGCTCCAGACTGTTCCCTTTAATTTATAACCCCATGTTTATTTTTCCTTTGGCATAATAATGACTATCTTTAATATATGTGGGCATAATGTTTGTATCTGTATTACATAAAATCCGTGTAAAATTAAATATTGTAATATTTACAGGTATTAGTTTATTTGTAATTTACAGGAATAAGGTCTGGTATTCTGTACAGGTTACATAATTTGCATGAGATCCTATGGTGCCATCTAGAGTTCAGAATATATATAAAATAGGTATTTATTATTCAATTGGTTAATTTTAGTCTCTAGTTGATAATATTTTATATATTTATATTATGGTATTGCCATATATAGGTCAAGTGTGGCAAAAGATACAGTCTAGTAGAAAATCAGATATTTGATGGAAATATGTGTTATAAAAACTATTTTATGAAGGTGAGATAAATAAATCCAAGATTACTAGCATAAAATAGTAGTATTGTGTTAATGTAATATAAAGTGAACTCAGTTTTAACTTCAATTCAACTGAATCTCATGGTACTTTGACCGGCTTTAAGGCAACACCGAGGGAGATTTATGAGAGTGTTGTGATCTGAATAGTGGTGTAAAGTTGTAAAATTTGAACAGAAAGAAAGAGTAGATTTCTAAAATCCTTACTACACAAATTGAAGGGGTGCCGATGAAAGGGGAATGTGCCTGTGGAGTCTTGAGGTTTCCACGGTAATTAATCTAACATTGTGTCTGTACTCCCCGTTTCCAAACTCAACTCTCCCAATATCTCAAGGAAGGTTATAGTACAGCGCTCACCTCAAACTATTTTTTTAAATTTAATAATCCATTACTCACCATCTTTAGTATCAGACCTTGCCCTTCAGCCATATACCTTGAGTCAGAAAAAGAGGCATGATTAACCGTTTACTGTGCAAAGGTTTAACACTGTTTAAAACGGTTATTTGCTACTTGTATTTTACAGATGAGGAAAATATGACATGTAGCACTCCTCTTCACATCCATGGAGAGCTTTTGAAGAACACAGAACACCACATCAACCTAATGTGCTTTACCAATCTCTACGAACGGGACTATATCTTCCTGATGCTGGTCGGCTTTGTCATCTTTGGCTCCGGCACAGTAGTGGCATGGCTAACTGGAGTATGTATCGTCATTTATGATCGCTTGTGTGGCACCACCGATGAAGATGAAGATGAAGAAGATGAGGAACCTCCTCCTCCACCAAGGCCCAAGAAAAAAGAGGAGGCACAAGTCTGAAGCAGATACACGAGTAGATGCCAACAGTCTCCTATTAATAACTTTTACTTCCGAAATGGGACAGCATTAAAGAATGGAATACTGTGATCTAGAAATCTGGGTAATGAAGATTATAATGTCCTCTTCTTCCAGTGTTAGCAGAACTTCTTAATTTATGACTTACAATATATATGTATTGGTTGAGTTCGAAGTCTTAACATTACCCTAGTGACAGTCTTAATATTCCATCACTTGTTGGCCATTTCCAAGTTATGCACTCACCATGGTTTTATAAACTAAAGTAGAACATGTACAAATTATCACCTAAAATTAAAGCAATACCAGCAGGGTTATTCACTAAACTGTGGAACATTCTAGAATGCACCAGAAAATGTCAAACTGTAGACCAAAACAGATGAATTGAAAAGATATATCAAGTCAGCTTTGTTTCTGTCACAACTACATTGGCCTTAAATTTGCAATTCTCTGGTGAATTACAAACATTTCACTCTTTTGTGAATAACACTGTCTGTTGCACTTCCATAACACACTTAGGGGTACATTACAATCTATCATTTGATATTTATCCACATAATAAAAGCTGCTGTTGAGCAGTTAATGTTAAAGTGATCACAACGGCATTGTTCAGATACCTTTTAAAATACTTTTACCATTAGCAGTTTGGTAATAACTGGCCTTAGATCTGTTAAACAGGCAAGTTTAGATAATTATAATTCTTACAAAGAAGAGTGAACACATTAACAGGACTATCAGAGACAGCCAATTTAACATCAAAAAGGACTGAGTTTGTACAATATTAGAATAAACACGTCCCCTCTGTTGAAGACTTGGGAAAACAACATCAACTAACTTTTACTAGCAATTGTTTAGTAACCAATTACATAAATGAAGGGACAACGAGTCACTGTAACAACAAAATGACAATGAATCCGATAACACAACAAATAGACATGTACAATATACCCAATAAATCAAATATGAATATGCTTAAAGTGAAACTGTAATAAAAAAATAAATTTACCTTAAATGCTCCCACACACATTGAATACACCATATATCACAAAAATATATGATGTATAAAATGTAAAATATACAGATATACTCACCTCTCTTCCGTTCCATAGCCGCTTCATGGGTGTTACTCATCATGTAACACCCTCCCCCGGGCCATCCTCTGCTCCACCTGCTGTCTTCTATAAATTGCCCGAGTTTACAGGTATTCTGGAAGTTAAAGAAACAACCAAAAATAGCACTGTTGATTTGGAACAAAACAGGTTAATCACACACATGTTGCCTATTATTGTCCACACTTTACTATAAAAAGAAGTCAAATACGCATGTCAGGTCATTGCAATGTGGATCCATTTTTTTTTTTGTCGTTAACCTCACATTCTCAGATAAGTGATTTCAAGACTGTGTGATTAACAGTGATGAGGTTAAAGGGACATGAGTCACCTAGACTGCTTTATCTCAGTGAAGTGGTCTAAGTGCGGTGGCCATGTCCTTTCAACCCTGCAATGTAACATGACATGTTAACCCATAGAAAAGCATTGAATACAAATCTTTCCTATGGAGAACCTTGGATATGTGCGCAGAGTTCGCCACGCATGCGCATCACGCCCCCAGTGCTCCTCCATAGGAGAATTGGATTGCCATGTCTCCTCCATGATGTATTGGGTGGAAGGGAGACGAGCAAGGCCGAGAGAACCTCAGTGATGGAAAAAAAGTAAAAAAAATGTTTTTGTTTTTTTGAAAAAGTGGAGAGCTTTGTCTAATTAGGGACAGGGGCACTATTGTGTTAGGAGTACAGACTTGTATTGCTAATGCTATAGTATTCCTTTATGTCTGGCTTTAAGTCTTTAACAATTTCTAACTTTGTCAAAGTTACCAGCAGAAAAAATCTGGGACCTTTTTGGATTGCGATCATTTGAAAAAATATATAGTGTCTGAAAGTCAGAAAATGTTATCACTCACTTACCAATGCTGGATTGTAACTTACCCCTGTGTTATGATGCTTTACGCAAGGACTAGGTGAAATGTTATAAGCTGCAATTCTATATGGACCGTCCACTATGGAACGGGTTGGTTCATGTTCCAATTTATGTCTTCCATTTTTGTTCTCATTGGTGCCAGTTTTCAGCTGCCTTTGTAAAATTATACAAATTGTGTAAATGCTGTCATTGTAGGACTCAGGGCACAGCTAATATTTCTGGGGGAGACTGTAACAATTTTCAAACTTATTGAAAGTTTCATTAATACATTAGGCTGCACAATTATAAATAAAATATAGACAAATGATATAGACAAAATGCAATATGAACTATAAGAAGCCCTCTGTTATTTTAATCCTGATTCTTTTTTTGGTTTCCATTTCCTATATTTGCACAGTTATGTTTTCATTCTGTCCCTGTTATGTCATTTTGTCCTTCTTCTGTCTTCTTCATGTAGCACCTTCAAAGATGAACTTGCCATACAACAATAAATTGTAAATCTAGAGTGTGCATAAAATTCCGTAATATATAATAATATGATGTCAGGGTTTTCATAAACTCAGCATGTATTCCCAGCAGTCTGAACAGGACCTGACATTTTTAAGTGTTTTATAGTAAGAAAAATATTAGAGTGAAAAATAAGAAATAGTGCGGGGGCAAGAAACGGAGGTGAGTGGATCTTTCCTTCCTTTCTCTTATTAGGTGACACTATCCAATGGGCATTGCCTGGCCAGGACAAGCAAAAACTGCAAGCCTCAGCACGATAGGTCTTCTTTAAGATGAGTATTAGGGGTATCTGAGAGTGGAAGATTTTACATTCTCTGATCCATTCATATCCACTATGGGTCTGTGTAATTATATGGAAAAGTCGCAGAATCAAGAAATTGATCAACAACATCCCTCAACACAATTTTTTCAAATCAGTTGTTTTCCCTTCGCTGAGATTAGGGCCTAAAATACTTTAGAAGATTTTAACAATTAACAGTTTCTAGAATAAAGCCTTCAATTACTGATTTCTAGTTTCTAGTCTTCGTTGGAACAATGGTTGCAACACAATATACAAAGCAATAGCAAACTGTAGAGTTTATTAAGATTTCCAGATTTTAGGCTTAATTTGACAGATTTCCTTGTTGATGATCGATTCCCTGTATAGTGAATAGAATGTAGCAGAATTATGCAATAAAATGATTTAGCAGGAATTCACCAGGGAACTGAACTGGAAAACTCAGCTTGGGGTTATTCATTAAACTGAGTATTTCGAAAAATAAAATTTGAATGTTAAAACTAGGGCTAAAATATCTGTACTGTAATGAAATTCGGCTATAGTCAGAGTTTGACTATTATACCCTTAATTTAGCCACTCCGATGTGTGTCCCTCTATAATTCTATAGTGTCCCTCTCCCTACTCCTTTCTAGGTGTATGTGTGTGTGTCCCAGTGCCATACAAATGTAATAAATAAATGTTTTACTTTCCTGTTTCCAGCGCTGAGGCTACCTAGTCGCTGCTGACCTCTACTCCTGAGGCTAAGTCATAGAGAAGCACTCATGCTCATTCATGAACTAATGCGCATGTGCAGCATGTGTGCTTTCAAAATTCCCCTTAGGAAAGCATTGAGTCAGTGCTTTCCTATAGGGCTCCATGTCATATGGCAGCCAAAAGAGGCAGTCTTAACCCTGCAATATAAACTTTGCAGCTTCTCCAAAACTGCAATGTTTTACATTGCAGGGTTAAGAGGACAGAGACACGGCACCCAGAACACTTCAGTGAGATGAAGTGGTGTGGGTTACTATTGTGTTCCTTTAATACAAGTTATGTGTTCCAGCTCAGCTAATTTGACACTGTCAGTTTTACAGATACTCTTTATAGAGTTGTGGGAAAGTTGTGAAGAAAACCACAACCAGCCCATATTCCCTTCTTAAAAGGGCAACTTCAGTTTATTTTAATGTGAAATCATATACTGATGAAACATTGCTTGTTTGTTACCTTTAGCTGGCAAAATAATGTTGACATAGCGTACTCCTCTCATTATTGTTTATTTTATTTATACTTATTATTATTCCAGTTTTTAGCAACTTATTTTCAATATTAAATGGTCTTCTTGTCTTGATGTAGACTGTAACCCAATAGCTTTATACCCACAGTTTAAAGGTCTAGTCATTAAATTGAGCTGTGCCAAGTCCACACTTGAGTCAAATCCTTGGATCAAACTCCAGCAATTATTAACGTCAATATTCAAACTCAGCAAGCAATCACCTCGACTCTGCAACCGAACTCCTTCTGTCTTCCTATTGCAGATACTGAAACTGTGCCTGCCGAGGCATTAAAATGACATTTGCTTTACTTTTCTAGCAAACATTTATACAATATCAGCAAATTACTTGAAAAGAGGACTTACAATATAGCATAATAAAATGATCCTTTCATCGCTTTGTGCCTTTACTTTGTGTTGCTGGATGTGATTAAATCTAATTTTATAGAATGTATGGATCTCCTTGTATAGAATCGTGGGTGGCTGGGTTTGGGTGATCTGCAAAGTATTTCTGGTGTATTAGTATTAACGGCATTAGATGACCTTATAGTTAGATCCATGAACTTTCAGTCTCAGCTCAGCTTTATTTCAGAAAGTTGTGTAATCAATCAATTGTTCTAAACTAAAAAGAAGCAGATAAAAGCGGGGGACCCATATCCTCTCTGATTAGAACATGCGTACCCTGTCAATTTATTCCACTGTGGTCAAGAATCTGAAAAGGCTGGGACCTGCCTAAATACCTAGTGAGATTTCTATCCTTATCAGGTATTACAAACCCAACTTTCACAATGCCTACATTTAATGACTCACCCCATTAATGACCCACCCACAGTCCCGATTTAATACACTGCGATGCTGGGAGGTATGCTGATAGGACAGTTTTATGCATGCTGCTGGCAAAAACTTAACTGTTAATTGGTACTTTCAGTGGAAAGTAACTAATATTATAGAACTAAAAAATATATATATATATATATATATTATATACACACACTTCAAAATATGAAACTGTTAGTATTTGTATTTGATTATCAAAAAATACAGAAACTAATTTATAATCTAAAATTGTATACTGATCATTAATGTTTTCTATTGCCCTAAATTGTGTGCAAGGGAAGAAAAATTACATTAAAGGGACACTATAGTCACCCAGACCACTTCAGCTCAATTAAGTGGTCTGGGTGCAATGTCCCTCAGGTTTTAACCCTTCATATGTAAACATAGCAGTTTCAGCAGGTTAAGCCAACCTCTAGTGGCTGTCTTTCTGGGACCCTGAGGGTGGGGGCACCCTCAGGGCACTATAGTGTCAGGAAAAACGCTTTGTTTTCCTGACACTATAGTGATTCTTTAAATAAACTCTTTTTTAGTTATATGTTCACAATATATTGTTTTTTATGGTTTATGGCTCTTGGTAGTTAAGGGGTCAATTCATTTATGGTAGTTTTACATGAATTAGCGTTAATATGCACTTTCACAGATGACCTATCTACTCTACTCAAAGTGAAACAAATAACAACTGTTAAAGGACCACTATAGTGCTATAGTGCCCTGAGGGTGCCCCCACCCTCAGGGTCCCCATCCCGCCCGGCTCTGGAAGGGGGAAAGGGGTAAAAACTTACCTTTTTCCAGCGCTGGGCGGAGAGCTCTCCTCCTCCGATCCTCCTTCTCTCCTCCCCGTCGGCTGAATGCACACGCGTGGCAAGAGCTGCGCGCGCATTCAGCCGGTCACATAGGAAAGCATTCATAATGGACGCTTGCGTGCTCTCACTGTGATTTTCACAGTGAGAAGCACGCAAGCGCCTCTAGCGGCTGTCAATGAGACAGCCGCTAGAGTTAATATGGGATGGCTTAACCCATTCATAAACATAGCAGTTTCTCTGAAACTGCTATGTTTATGAAAAAAATGGGTTAACCCTAGCTGGACCTGGCACCCAGACCACTTCATTAAGCTGAAGTGGTCTGGGTGCCTAGAGTGGTCCTTTAACAGAACAAGAGCGGCCACTAAAACAACTACATTAAAGTAGCAACTAGTTATTATTAATGTGAAAGATGCAGAGGTATATTCATAAACAATGCAATGTTCAATGTTCATAAACAACAGATAATAAGAAAAAAAACTTTCCAAAAATGATATCACACATAACTCTCATCATAGGGAGATATGCAAAGCACAATGTGGGTTGGTGGACCTAAATATGGAGGGTCAATGACGAAACCTGCAGGGACACACTCGTCCAGAAAGGGAGAGGGCCCGCTCGCCCCATGCAAAGAAGGGGTATATCATCCAGAATATGAATGTACGTCTCACTGACTGCAACTCGTGCATTAAAGATGAACATGCACATTAAAGATGGACATGCACAGAGTGCTGTTATAGTGCTCTTTTCATTGTCATAGTGCCCATGGTGTAGTGTGAGCGCAATAATGATGCACTCACGCTATGCATTCTGGGGAGAGTTTCTCATAATTTGGAAACGAGGGAACAAACTCAGGGCGGAAGGATAGAATCCTGAAACCAGTCCGGTCATGCTGAATTCAGGACAGTTGGGAGGCCTGATCACAGAAGTTTACAATTTTTGAAGATGGGCATCAGCAGTTATGTACAGAGCAACATGTCAAATATTCATATGTTACAAAATCACATATATTATTCTCACAGGCCATATGACTGGGCCCCTCAAACTTTATCCAGTTTTAAATTGGCAACTTTTTATACTGGTATTTTAACAATTGTAAGTAGTGTAAATTACATTGGAGCAGGCAAATGATGATCTCCAGCTTACATGATGCTTTGCAAGACTTAAGGGGACAATCTAAAAATATTAATTGTAAAGGGATACTATAGTCATCAGAACAACTACAGCTTAAAGGGACACTATAGTCACCCAGACCACTTCAGCTCAATGAAGTGGTCTGGGTGCCAGGTCCCTGAGGTTTAAACCCTTCAGATGCAAACATAGCAGTTTCAGCGAAACTGCTATGTTTACATTAGGGGTTAATCCAACCTCTAGTGGCTGTCTTCCTGACAGCCGCTAGAGGCGCATCTGCGATGCTGGATGCGAAATTCACATCTAACGTGCAGAACGTCCATAGGAAAGCATTGAGAAATGCTTTCCTATAGACAGTTTGAATGCACGCCCAGCACTTGCCGCGCATGCACATTCCGGCAGGGGAGGAGAGGTCATCAGCGCCGAAGGAGCCCGGTGCTGGATTAAGGTAAGCTACTGAAGGCGTTTAACGGGAGGGGGACCCTGAGGGTGGGTGCACCCTTAGGGCACTATAGTGTCAGGAAAACCGCTTTGTTTTCCTGACACTATAGTGATCCTTTAATGTAGTTGTTCTGGCGAGTATAGTCAGTCTGCAGTAAACACAGTCTTTTCCCGACCTCCCTTAGCAATCTCAGCCAATCCAATGGTTTCCCTGTGGGAAAGCATTGGATTGGCTGAGATCACCAATTCTGATGAAGTCTGCCAAATTGTAACCATTTTTAAAAGGGGAGGGGGCAAGCCACCTAAATGGTGGTTTTAGCACTATAGAGTCAGAAATACATGGTTGTGTTCCTGACCCTATAGTGTTCCTTTAATTAAGTGATCATAGGTCATATATGCTGCAGCCTAGCTGTTAAAAATAGTGCAGTTTCAAGGACATTATATGGTTCATATTTTGCAATCCCTAAACCCTAGTGTCTAACAGCCTATTTAATAAGTGGCAGATGGTGATTGCCATGCGTTCATTGCATGCCTGCGTTTGGCTCGGAGCTGAATTAAATGTACTTCCCAACATTTTAAATGTAAAAAGGACACTTTAATTTTAGGGTTGTGGCCAGGGGCTGTGCTGTTATGAGAAATTTTAGGTGAGTTACTGATAACAATTTATGTAGCTAAAAGAGTTAAGACTGAGCACGCCTTAGTCACAACAAAATATGCCTACCCAAACCATGGCACTACCAGACTTCCGCAAAAATATTTTCACGCTTCCGTTCTCCAGCAGATACGAGACTGGCATAAGGCCCCAGCAAACAAACTGTGGGTGTCCCTAGACAAAGAATGCACAAATAAAACCCTCCACACATACATATGGCACAAATCAACAGGCCTGACGCAACACTTATGTAACAACTCACCTATAGCGCAGACTCTTAAGACGTGGATCACGTTGAGAAAGGACCCATACATATCCCCACAACAGAGTCCATTGATCCCGCTGACACAAAACGCTGCCTTGGGCGGCGGACTTCCACCGACAGCATGGGCCACTACTACTGGTAGCAGTGAGTTTGTCCCCCTGAAGGAAGCATTAGGCAACGCTGGGCTGAAAAGCATGCGAGAATGGTACACCGAAGAAACACCCACACCGATACACAGGTTTCACTACGCGCAACTACGGCACTTCTATTACAATCTGCAAAATCGAGCTGCGGTACACAGGGAAACTACATGGTTCTCAAAACGTATGCGTGACCTGCACCGAAACAGAAGGCAGGGTGTCAGTTCTCTACCAGCAACTCATTATAGGAACCCGCATCAGAAAAGACGCCTTTAGGAGGCAGTGGAAAGACCTGACAGACAGGTCCTTCACTGACGCTCAATGGGAACAGATGCTCATCCTACAACTTAAAAGTTTGATCAACTCCAGGTACCAAGAAGTCAACTTTAAGCTGATCTCCCACTGGTACCGCACACCCTCATTACTACATAGAATATTTTTGGAGATCCCCGATGTATGCTGGAGATGTGAATCACACACGGGCACCCTTCGACACATCTGGTGGGACTGCGCACGTTCTGGAATGAGATCAAACTGGAACTGACCAACATACTGGGCGAACTACCTGAACTCGAAATTGAAACCGCACTACTCCACTTCACGGACCAATCACTGGCTCAGTACAAGAAATCCATCCTGAGACACCTTCTCAACGCAGCTAAATCATTGATCCCCGCTATGTGGAAACAAACCCAACCCCCCACCACAGCGCAATGGTTACGGAGAGTAGAAGAGATCCACACAGCGGAAGCAAAATTGGCGGAATTAGTGGGACGGAGTGACAAAGACACCGAACAATGGAGACCATGGTATTTATATCTAACTCATATACGAATAGCTAGGAGAGAGGGACAAAATGCTGAGGGAAGCGGGGAGCACATGCTCGCCACAGTCACCCTTTGAGAAGGCTGTCCACAGCTCTTCCACACCCCACACCTCCCTCTGCATGGCTATCTCTCACCCTGGTCAACATACCCCCCCCCCCCTGAAAACTTCAACCTGGGACCCCCGATGCTTCACGGTATGGTCCTCAGGGGGATGGGTTGTAACACGGGAGGAACACCCACCAGGCAGGACTATATATAAATCATTGCACCAACTTGAACAACAGACGGCCTTGCAGAGAACTGGGGGCAGCAGTGGTCACGGTCACACAGTAACACATACTCCTAATACGACACACACCAAAACTAGATTCCCTGCTGCATTAACAAACGGAACTCACAACATTAGCGACCCATACACCTAGGAAGATAGGAACAAAATCATGCCGGGACACTCGCTACACCCCGGGAAACAAACTGACGAGATAGCTGGTCACTCTGACTGAGACCCACCACACACCTACATACGCCGTAATGCTGAATCGAACAACCCAGAGTAATCCTCCAACCCTGACAACATCTCTCCCACCACGCGCAATAAACTAGAACCATCACAGGGACGATAAAACTAAATACGGACACAGAACACTCACTGGGAGACCCACTGAAGAGCCCAACCAGGCCCCCGCAGGCATTGCACTCTAAGGGCACTGACACCCCAGACAAAACAGCAACCATGCGCTGCAGGGACTACTAGTGGAGTGACGCGAGACATGAGCAACACTTAACCAGTAACAAACCCAGGAGACCACAGAGATTGACCCCCACAAGTAAATCTGGCACTTTCCCGGTAGAGAAGCAGATAGGGCTAGCAAACTCAGATCTTCTGAGGGGAAAACGAATTACAGTAGGAAAAATTGTATATAGGGACTGTATGAGAAGAAAGCAATAGCATGTAGCACTATCTTTACCCCACAACTATCAAACCGCTAGACAACAACACATAATGGACACAAACACCTCAGAAGCAGTGACCAACACACATAAGATGGACAGGGGTCACAGAAAGACAGTATCCCCCTTCTATCACTGGAAGCCACAGTTGACAATATTAGGACCTCTTGACGTCCCAATACGACGCAAGTAAAAGGCAGAATAAGACCAACAAAACCCACAAATGATAGGACATGCAGAAACACCAACTACAGATCACTGATAGAGACCGGGAGGACCCTGGAAACAGAGTGGTGTTTACACTATGGAAAAATCTTTGACTTAAACACAAAGGGTGAGAATGAAAAGTCTTCTAAGTAGCATGAAGGTCAAACAGACTTATTTAAAGTGTGATGTAGTCCACATCATTGTTACTGAGACAAAGACAACTGATTGATGTTCAACCCTTATCCCCTTTTTTACCTTTCTGTACCCCATATTTCTGAACTTAAACAATAAAGAGAACATTTAAAAAAAAAATGTAAGTTAGAGCAAGAATAATATACCTTATTTACACAGAATGATTTCTAAACAGATTTAATGTGGTTTAAAGATATGCACCGACCCTGAAGGTATGTCAGTGGCCCACCGGCCAGGCCACTTGGAGTAACGGGCGCTGCTGTGACCGTGGTGGTTACGCCACTGCTGAGGAGGTATGCCTACAGGTAAATTTAATTGTAATTGTAAAGGTTTTTGTTTTTTAATTATGTGGCTATATGTATCCCTTTTGGTTTTGTCAAACCCTGGCATAAAATGTTGAATGGTTGATTTTCAGCCTCACTGCTGTTTTCACAGTAAAAAACAAAGTGACTGATATGTGAAAATGCATATTTCCATTTATAGGCACTAACTAACACTTTATTAATATATTCAACGTTAGCGTAGTTTGTTAGCTTTGTATATAACATTTTATTTACATACATATATGACTATTAATAGAGTAACATTGTTGTGATGGAGTAACCCTCAGGGTACAAGTAGTCTTATTATGCACTGACATGGGAATCACAACATTTATGGCTAAGTGCTGTTAAATTGCTACCAGAGAATAAAATGTCAATTATTTTACTATCTTTTTAAATGCCCAGAGGTGTGTTTAACAGAGACTGAATAATAGACAGAATGCAATAAAGTAAAAAATTAAGTCAATTGCCATAAGATATCTTTTAACTGTGCTTGAGATCCTCTATGACTGTATTTGATACTCATTTTTTGGGGCTACGCCTGTTGTTATTATGTCATAGTTTTTTGTTTTAACAAAAGGATTATAATAAAATATATTTGACAGTAATTATAATCAGCTGCATAGTTCAGGTAAAATTTGGAAAATTTCAAAAAGTGGAAAAAATTGAGGAAGCCATTAGTAGGTACGTGTGTGTTTTATACCTCTGCACAACATGCCTATATTAACACTTCAATATCAATGACTGGAGTGATCAAAAATATGACCATTGTTAAGAAAACATGTTCACTTTAATTCCTTGTTATTAAGCCTTAATAAAAGGTGGAGAAAATGATAAAATACAATATATAAAGACACTGGGGAAAACAAACCAAAATACATATATATAATTATTTATTTTCTTTGTAAAATGGAGGGATGCTTTCTAATATGAGTACTGTCTGTGTTTAAAGTTTGAAAAAATAGGAGGGAGTGTCTGCTGACTCATATAATGTTATACTAACACATCTTTTCCCTCACCACGCCCTGGTAAAGCAATATTTCCAAAATCAGTTCATGGAATATTTATATAACAATTCCCTTTTAGCTTAAAGGGACACGCTAAGCGACATAACCACTAATCCTCACTGTAGAATTTATTTTGTTTATAGAGTCCTGGCTCCATACCACCGTTTAAAGGAACACTAAAGGCACTTTACCTCTATGGTGTTGTCTGGGAGCAGTAATCCTGTCATTTTAGTTCTGCAATGTAAAACATTGCTGTTTTGTGAAAACGTGCAATGAGTACATTGCAGGGTTAAAGGACCACTGTAGTGCCAGGGAAACAAACTCGTTTTCCTGGCACTATAGTGTTAATAGGTCCCCCCCACCCTCATGGCCCCCCTCGCGCCGCGCTTTAGGGGGAGAAAGGGGTTAATCCCTTACCTTTCTCCAGCGCCGGGCTCCCTCAGCGCTGGGGACTCTCCTCCTCCTTCCGACGTCATCTGCTGAATGCGCATGTGCGGCAAGAGCCGCGCACGCATTCAGTCAGTCCATAGGAAAGCATTCTCAATGCTTTCCTATGGACGCTGGCGACTTCTCACTATGAAAATCACAATGAGAAGCGCGGAAGCGCCTCTAGCGGCTGTCAATGAGACTGGATCAAATGTAAACATAGCAGTTTATCTGAAACTGCTATGTTTACAGCAGGCAGGGTTAAACCTAGATGGACCTGGCACCCAGACCACTTCATTGAGCTAAAGTGGTCTGGGTGCCTATAGTGGTCCTTTAAACACGCCTCTAGTGGCTTACCTCCTGACAACCAAGTGAGACTCTAGTATTCAACTAATTCATATGGAGAGCATGTGATTGGCGATTTGCTCCCTGTATTGGCTCAGATCCTCAAGATAGCAGGACAAAGACCAGCACTACAAAGGCTAAAACGTGACTAAAAATGCTTTTTTTATGGCAGTTAGTAGAACACTATAGAATTAGGAATGCAAATTATTTAACATTTGATATACACTAAGGTTGTTCCCAACCATGACACTGTTAAGGAACCCCCCTATTTTAGCCACACTGTTAATGAGGAATTAAGACTTCTCTATTACCAGCAGGTCTGGATTGGCCATCAGGCATACAGGGCAAATGCCGCCGCGATGGCCATGGGTCGAGGTCGGCAGGGGAGATCACAGGACCTCCCCAGCCGGTCCATGCAGAGCCAGCACATATATATATTACAGCAACCATCATACAAATGCTGCACCGATAAACACATTACAATGTAGACACACACTAGATCCCTACATACACTCTGAATCCTCTACACACACACACACACACACACACACTCACTAAATCTCCTATACAGACTCTGGGTCCTTCAAACACAAACTAGACCCCTACATACACACACACACACACACTGCACCACCTACACACACTACATTCCTGACATACACACTCTGGATCCCCTATGCACACACTACATTCCTTGTAAGCAAACACATACAACATTCCTTAAACACACACTCTCTACAACCCCTACACACACTACATCACCTATACACACACACACAATCCCTACATCCCCTATCCACACTGTCTACAACCCCTAGCCACACGTACATTACAACACAAATACAACACGACTGAAACCGACCTATTTACACAATACCACACCACAATCAGCTCACTCTACACACACACAATCTTATAAGCAGGCTTCAAACACATGCACTATATTCTTTCCTATCCCTTTTGTCTCATAGTATCCCATTTATGGAGACACCAGAGACAAGCTGCAAGCAAACACAGCGCTTACATGTTAAATTAAATTTGCTTGCACTGTGCAGAACAAATATGGGGCCCTTTTCTCATACTAGAGCTCTCCAGAAGAGCCCTGCGCATGGCCTGCCCTGGAAGAGCATTGAACCAACATGCTCACTTTGAGAAGGGGCGTGCTTGTCATAGGTGATGACAAAACACACCCTATCTGGCTCCGCCCCCTTCTCAGTGGGCCACTGTGATAAAAAAATGCCCAGGCCGAATTTTTTTCTCCAGTCCGTCCCTGATTACCAGTATTAATTTCACTTAACCTGGACAACAGTGATTGACTGGCAACACAGGGATAACCTCTTCCCAGCACTCTCAGACAATCATTGACATCTGATTTTTAACCATATAAGACACAAGGACACTCTAGGCCTCATTGTCACAGCCCCCGGCTCATGGCCGCACTGGATCGGTGCGACCACACAAAGGAATTACCTGTACAGCAGAGAGCTGGGAGCCAAACTATTGGGGAATCCATCCCCTTCACACGCAGGATCCAAAATGGCACCGACCGCGAGGACGCTTCCATTTGTAGACCCGCCTCCAAAAGTTACGCGAACATGCATGTGACGTCACGACATCAAAGCATACGCACGTTCAGGGGTCAGAGGCCAAGTTCTGACCAATCACAGCCCAAAGAGGGGTATTTAATCCCCAGAATACCTTAGCTCATTGCCCTGTCGTGGTTTCCGTTCCTGGTATTCGAGAGTGTGTTTTACTGATCTTTTTATTGATATTCCTGGTATTTGACTTTGGCTATTCCTGACTATTCTAATTTCTAATTTCCCTGACTATTGGTAACTATATCATCGCAAATTAGTCATGCACAACTCTCATCAAACAGCTCTCATCACAGAGAATTGAGATGGGCACTGGTGGCAGAGTTAAACTACAGAATTGAAAGAGATGGCAAAACGTTGCTCTGACGTGAAATGTCTAAATTCATGAGACGCTATCAAACTAGATTTTTGTCTTGCTTCCTCTGAAGTTCATCAGGTATAATCGAAAAAGTAGTTATTTTCGTAGTGCAAAAGTTAGCAATTGAAAATACAATGGAATTCCCCCCCCCCCCCAAGATTGTGAAATAAATCTGAAAAGCTGTTTTTTCACTATAACTCAGTGTCTGCTCTGGTCAAAGTACAAAGGTGGATAATAGTTACTTTCTGTTTAAAAAAGTAACTTTAACCTTGCCCTATTGTGTAAATGTTTTTATTTTTTTCGAACAAAGGACTAAGCACAAAGCACTTCAAACTTTTATTTTCCTATAGACACTGAAAATACAGCAACATTTAATATTAGCTTACTTTGAGGCCCTTTAAAAATATTAACCCTTCATAAGACGCGTTTGTGCAATGTGCAGGGCACTAGGAGCCTAAAACATTGCTCCCTGCAGGGTCTGCCCTGTCACTAGCCCACCCGTATCACTAGCCTTTACCCAATTGCCAGGATGCTGGAGTTGGGAGGTATGGGTATGGATGATGCAGGCCTCCTGAATGACCTGATTTTCAGGTCCTTTGCCCCCTTCCTGCCTCTGGACTCCAGGGAATTGTCCTTAAAGGACCACTATAGGCACCCAGACCATTTCAGCTTAATGAAGTGGTCTGGGTGCCAGGTTCAGCTAGGATTAACCCTTTCTTCTGCAAACATAGTAGTTTCCGAGAAACTGCTATGTTTACCTATGGGTTAATTCAGCCTCTAGTGGTTGTCTCATTCACAGCTGCTAGAGGGCTTCCACGCTTCTCACTGTGATTTTCACAGTGAGAAGACGCTAGCGTCCATAGGAAAGCATTGAGAATGCTTTCCTATGGACCGCCTGAATGCGCACGCGGCCCTTGCCGCGCATGCGCATTCAGCCGGTGACGGAAGAAGAGGGAGGAGAGCTCCCTGCCTGGCGCTGGAGAAAGAGGTACGTTTAACCCCTTCCACCCCTAAAGCCCGGCGGGAGTGGGACCCTGAGGGTGGGGGCACCCTCAGGGCACTTTAGTGCCAGGAAAACAAGTATGTTTTCCTGGCACTATAGTGGTCCTTTAATAAGCATTGCGCGATCGCATCATTATACATGATTGCGCTATGTTCATGGTTCTAGGACCCTGCAGAGATCACTGAAACAGATTGGTACACAGCCTGGCATGCATTCACACCTGATGAAGTGCCAATAATTTGGGCAGACCTTTCTGAGTGGGTTGAGCCATTAACATGATCGTGCCACTTTGCTGCCCTTCTACCACTCCCACCACTGTCCCGATTTGGGAGGTCTGCTTTGTGAGCAGAGATGTCGGCAGCGAAATAAATTTCACAAAAGACATGGCCACTTACCGGTCCCAGCCTGCTTACCTCTTCCTTTCACAAACCCAAAGTAATAGCGTGGGGGGGTTTTGTATGGCTGCCTCTCCAGCCTTCCTTTATATCTCTGTCTCCTCTTCATGGTGTGACTAAGCAAGCTGGGCTTTTGTTCTGCTGGGATCAGACCAGATATTAGTTACTCTAATGACCATTGGAGGGAATACCCCTCTCTGTCTCATTAGAGATATCTTTGCCAGAAGCTCAGGGAAGCAAGGTAAAAGGTCAGTGTAGGACCCGCCTACGGGGGTCTGCCTTGACGTTGGCAGGCAGGCATTGCCTCCAATGGCCCTTAGAGTAACTAAATTACCTCTATTTGTTTAAATATACATAGGGATTTAGGAGAGAGCACAGGTAACATATTCTTTGGTTACTATTATGTATCTCTTCAGCCCTTTTAAATTAGGCTGTGGGTTACTCTGTCTGTGTATATATATATGTACATTATTTCTGATGATGGTTTTAATCAGAGGGATAGGTTGGGGGGCACTAAGGGCATTATGTATGTAATTAACGTTTGTGTATGGCTATAGGGTGTGCAGTGCGCACGCGCGGCTCGAGTGCCGGACTAGTGTAATGCGCATGCCAGCGATTAAGATGGCGGTATGATACTACACGCCATATAATGCACATGCGCGGTAATAATACTCGCGGACGTAGGAATTAGCCTTCATTTAATGTTTATTGGGGGGAGAGAGAGGAGTTGGTGACTTATGTTTCTGCCTTGAGGCTTGGAAAATTTGGGTAAATTACTCTTGACTACTATTTGCCTCATTTTGTTACTTAGTTTATTTTTTGTTATTCATTTTAATTTGCCTACTTATTAAAGTTTTGTACTTGATAATTGTGGTTGTTATAGTGCGCATTCTGTATTATATATGGACCAAAAAGTTCTTACACCATGGCCCTCTCTGTTAGTTCTGCCACTGCATCCAGGCATGAATGTGTGTGTGTATATATATATATATATATATATATATATATATATATATATATATATATATATATATATATATATATATATATATATATATATTTAGATTGCTTATAAATGAATCTCACTTTTAGTGAATCATTGAAAATATATTTACCATTGGAAGAGGGAAAGAGCAACTCTTATGTAAAAAAAAAACAAAAAACCCCGACATCAATGATGGCTATTTGTGCCTCTAGCAGCAGTTAAGTGGCTGGCTGAGATTCATAGGGGTTGCTGGAAGGGAAGCTAATGTCTGTCACAATCCCAAAGTAATAGCGTGGGAGGGTTTTGTATGGCTGCCTTTCCAGCCTTCCTTTATATCTCCGCCTCCTCTTCATGGTGTGACTAAGCAAGCTGGGCTTTTGTTCTGCTGGGATCAGACCAGACAAGTCACTAGTAAGTGCTTTATTTCTATTTGTACATTTAACAGTTTTTGTGACATTTGGGTGAAGTATTTTATGTATAGCATGTAAAGGGGTAGAGCGAGGTCTTGTCCTTTAAATGGCCACCACTTTCTGTTTCCGTAACCTTGACTAATGTCACGCCATTCCCTTCCTGCATACTTGGATAGATCATATATCCCCCTCTAACTGGTCATGTTTGGAGAGATCACATGTCCCCTCTAACTGGTCATGTTTGGGGAGATCACATGTCCCCTCTAACTGGTCATGTTTGGGGAGAGCACATGCCCCCTCTAACTGGTCATGTTTGGGGAGCTCACATGTCCCCTCTGGACATTTTGGGGAGATCACATGTCCCCTCTGGTCATATTTGGGGAGATCACATGTCCCTCTAACTGGTCATGTTTGGGGAGATCACATGTCCCCTCTAACTGGTCATGCTTGGGGAGATTATATGCCCCCTCTAACTGGGCATGTTTAGGGAAATCATATGTCCCCTCTAACTGGGCATGTTTAGGGAGATCACATGTCCCCTCTAACTGGGCATGTTAAGAGAAACTCTGTGCTGCAGAAATGCATTGCACTCACTGCTTGATGCATCCTTCATAAACATCCCTAGTTAATTTTAGGGATTGCATGTATGGTTCTGTGTGTAGATGGATTTGAACTAGAGAACTTGATAAATTGCCATATTTATCAAGGCAAAGTAGGTGATGTTCTAAATACAGTGAAGCATTCTACTGATAGAGATACATACATGTGTATATATATCTCTATTAGCTCGTATAAACCCCTTATTGTAGCACGCCTGTTTTTATTATAGGTGAGTAATAAAGCCGGTAGCTTTTTAACGTTTACCTTGCCAGAAATGTAGGGTGCAGTTTTGGAAGCCTGTCAAAGCTGTTTTAGGAGTTTCCCAAATAGTTATTTTCTAATTTCTGTTGTACTTGTCAGATGATGGGTGGTGGGAATCATGAGGAATGTTTATTTGGAGAATTTTTGAGGCACCACACCTTTTGTGTGAAGAGATTTATTTTATGGTACAAAGTGTTCTGCTATCAAATAAACTATCTACCTCCCCTTATATATATTAGAATGGCTGGTGGTAATGTGGAAAAGTGACTAAAATTGCACGAGTTTGCATATGACATGGGGCTAGGGTTACCAGATTCAAGTTCAGGTAATCCAAAATAGCATACCTCCCAAGTGTCCCTATTTAGGAGGGACAGTCCCTAGTATGGGCCCAAATCCCTCTGACCCTCTTACCTTTGCGGTCACTACTGTTGGTGTGTATAACAGAGCTTCACAGCAATAATTCTCACAGTACAATAAATATGAGAAATCAGTCTGTATAAATATGATGTATTGTTTTTGTTCTAAATTATATTTTAGTTGCATAAATTGTACTTTAGTAAATCACCTAAAAATTTCTCAGCACAGTCTGCCCCTGGCCACGCCCCTAAAATTAAAGTGTCTCTCTTTGTCCATTTGAAATGTTGGGAGGTACGAAAAGTTATTTTCTATATAGGAATTGTGAGGACATGGAATCAATAGATAAAATAATTGACAAGGGAAGCCCAGGGATATGAGGATTGTGAAGTGTGGAAGGAGGGAAGAGCAGAATGACAATAGGCAGTGTACCTCTCCCGAGATGGAGCACTGAATCCGGCCCTTATTTGGGACGTAGGATTTAGCATCCTGGGGTCCTGGGCAACTTTAATCTGGCTCTACCTGCTTTTTTTTATTTTATTTATTTTTTCTTGATACATTTTTGGCCTTTTACCAATAAGCGGAAATATAGTTGGTTGGGCACTCCCTTACAACTGGTTCCAAGCCCCATCTGCACCTTTTCCACAGGTTGTCATTGTTGGGACTGTCAGTGACTCAACACTTTTTTTTTTTTTTAATATAAAAGATTAAGATTTTTCTTATGCAATAGCCTGAAACCTGTTTTTTTCTGGGAGGTTCTAAATAAGGGATTGATAGACAGGACAATATCACTGTTGATTGCTTTCCCTTAAAGGAACACTCTAACATTAAATTATTCTTGTTAGGTTAGAGTAGTTTCTTTTTTTTCTTTTTATTTAGATTTGTCTCATATCAAACGTGAAGACCTTCAAATACTCAAGTTCTTAAGGAGGAGTCGCCTCTAGTAACTAGCTGTCACACAGCAACTAAGAGATTTTTAGCCAAACATAAACATTGCAGTTTCTCAGATAATATGGCTGTTGTTTATAGTCCAATACTTTCAGGACACTGGGGATAAAAAATTTTTTTTTATAGAGATGGCATCATCATAGAGATGAAGTGGTCTGGGTGCCTAGAGTGGTCCTTTAAGTGGTCTGGGTGTGGTGATGCTGTCGTTTCAACCATGGAATGTAAAACATTGCCGTTTTGTACAAACAGCAGTGGAAGGGATATCTACATCTTTTCCCGAAAGTCACCGTTGGGGCCTCCTCCAACACAACTGAGTCAAACACAGTCCTGCAATCAAATGCTGCTTATTGTAGCATCCGATTGGAGGAGTGCAGCATTCTGCTCAACATACTTATCTGTAATTCATTGCCGATATCTTTGAAGGCAGTATAGGTGGTTACAGCAAAGGAATCTCTGTGCTGGAAACGAGGTAAGTAATCATTCTTTCACCTAATTTTTTATTTATTTTTAAATATTAAAGGGGGGGACAGAAGGGAACATATAGTCCGGAGAGGAAAAATGTTTTTGGGACTACAGGTTCCCTTTTAAAGTGTGAATTTATGGAAAATCAAAGTAAATGTGAAATATAAAGTCAAAATAGGTAGACCGGGGGGAAAAATCAACCTGGTTATTGTGGACTATAACTTGAAATTCAGTTTGAAATCCTAACAGTTCACATTTTAGTGAATAACTCTGGGTATGTCACACCGCCGGTAAACCATGATTGCTTTTTGTGTATGGTAATTCATTAGAATCACCCAATCTCTGCTGTTTTGGACTATGACCGCAAATGTACATTTTTATTGAATTATGGTTTTACCAACACAAAATAAATAATTTTGGGTTAATTTTTGGCTCACTTGCACTAAAGCCAGTGAGAGAGCACTTGGAGGTTATGTATAAAAAGTGATGCAACTGGTTTCACGCCAAAATTGTATTGCATTTTCTATTTGTGCCAATAATGAAGGGGTGAATATTTTTTTTTATTATTTTAATCGGGCTGCTGATGTTTTAAAAACTATTTGATTTGCAGCTTTTTATTATTAATCTCATGTTTTTACAGACAAAAAGATCAGTAGTTACAATTGTGGAAGGTCAAGTCTTGTTTTGCCACTTATTGACAGTCACTTAATATAAAGTCTCCTCTCCCCAATACCTAGTCCAAGCCTCTATTACATTATTCTGTTCTGATAATGTTTTAATAATGAATATAATGTAGTCCTTTTTTAACCTCTATATTTCATCAAAAACACGACTTTGATGGACATTTATCAAAGTGTTTTGTTGGGCATTCACCATGGAAACCAGTGAAACCCGCACATTCCATTGGCGACTATACCCATTTTACATGTTTACACCGCTTTAAAAAAAAAAAAGTATAAATCTCAACCAAAATCTGCTGAACTGTATAATGTTTTTGTATTAAATTGCATTTTTTTTCTTCTCCAATGTAGTCATATGGCCTGAAATTTGCTATTTGCTTAACTATTTATTCTTTAGTATTTCTTTTCCACCAGTTTGGTAAAAAAAAATAAAACTTTAATTCTTAAGCTATCTGTTTACACTTGTTAGATTCAAGATGGTGGTCTTATCAAAGGAGCATGGGTACGTGATCCTGACAGGCGCTGCCAGTTTCATTATGGTTGCCCACCTGACAATAAATGTGAGCAGGGCCCGTAAGCTCTATAAAGTAGAGGTGAGTTGTAAAGTTTTTTTGTTTTTGTGTGTTTAATGATTTTTTTTTTTTTTTAAGCCTTCAGTTTAGAAGTATCATAATATAATTTCTGAGAAGTAATATAGTGTATTATAACTTATTTATAGCACTGTGCAGTGGGTAAATGAAACAAGTGATTTTGCTAAAAATAAGCTCTGGATAAATTAAAGAGATAAGGCCATACTCAAAGGTGCACATGGTCTAAAGCAGACCTGCACAACTTGGAAGTGGGTAGGGGCCAAAATTAAATGGCCTAAACTTCTTCAGGCCGCAGATTAGGTTTTTAGTGCCTTACCAAGTAATGATATAAACTTTCATATAAAAAGACAGACAGAACACACACACACATCAGTGTGTGTTATCTGTGTGCAGGCTCTGGTCCAGGGCTGTAATTCAGGACAGAGAGAGGTCTTGGAGGAAGTGAATAAATTGAGATGACTCACAAATATTCAATTTCTGTAAAATATACTTTTATATAGTTTGTGGGAGTGAGGTACAGTTATAATCCAAATGATTCAATCCCCATTTGGAGGAAGAAGAATGAAAAGTATACTCTGCCTACAGTTAAACCCGGTGGTGGCTCAGTGATTCTCTGGGGCTGTTTTTCATCTTCTGGCACTGGAAACCTGCAGGGTGTGGATGGCAAGATGGATTCATTGAAGTATTAGGAAATCCTAGGAAAAAAACATTGTGCCATATGTGGAAGCTGAAGCTTGGGTTTCAATGGACCTTCCAACAATACAATGATCCTAGCGTACCTCAAATTCCACCTAGGTTTGGTCGAGGAAGAAGCCCTGGAAAATTCTACAGTGGCAATCAGTCACCTGACTTGAACACCATAGAAAATCTCTGGTGGGATTTAAAGAAGGCGGTTGCAGCATGCAAACCCAAGAATCTTGCTGAACTGGAGGCTATTGCGGAAGATTCCTCAGGAACTTTGCCAGGTGCTGTTGTCTGGCATCTTGTTTGCAGTAGGTCACAGCAGCGAAATAGTGCTCTACTAATTAATGAAGATGGTTGCCATGAAGGGGTTGAATAGTTTTTAAAACTGGAGAAGTCATTTATAAGTTGCATTTTCAGTTGAATTTGGAGATACTATTTAACCCTTTAAGGACTGAGCCAATTGTACACGTTGTGATCTAAACAAAGCCCGTTCAAGCGTAATTCACCTCTTTCATATTATGTGCACCCACACTTATCATATATAAATTTGCGCAGGAGAAACAGGGCTTTCATGTCACATCAAATATTAGTATATTAAGCATAATTTAATATGAATAAAATGTAAGAATGTAAGAACTTTTTTTTAATTCTGCATGGCATTTTAACTGTGAATGTCATAATACTGTTTGCTGTTACTGCAGTAAGGTACACATATTTGTATTCAGCGATGTCTCACGGGTAAATCAGTACCCCCTATGTACAGGTTTTATGGTGTTTTGGAAAGTTACAGGGTCAAATATAGCCTGTTACATTTTTTCAGTTTATACACATAGAAATTTACCAGACTGGTTATGTTGGCTTAAATTTGAAAATAACTTTTTTATTTTTTATTTTTTTTTTTATAGAATTTTTGATGTGTCACTTTAGTGAATATGAATTTATTTTAATTCATTTTATAAATAAAACCTGCAAAAATAGCTGATCTTTAAAAAGAAAATAATTCTCCTGCTCAGGCATAATCAAAACATGACTATTTTTGCCTCTGGTTTGCCATTTGGATTTAATTTGGAATTTAGTGAACAACTCTGATAGTGTTTGTGAATTTCAGTCCTGCAGAGCTAACCGTTTTTTTTTGTTTGTTTACTCAGTACCCCACTATGTACAGCGATGACCCAGAAAATGGAAAAATATTCAACTGCATCCAGCGGGCTCACCAAAACACGTAAACTCATTTAAATTTCTTTTAAAAAAATAATATAGTTTTGCTTAGTCCTAACTTTTTTATGTTTTTCTCTATGAAGATTAACAGTTTATACCAGTGATGGCTAAGCTTGCCACTCCAAGTATCTGACATACAATTTCATGATACATTTTTAATTTGTGTATAATTAAAGCTGTGCTGGCATAGAATATAAAGTTCAGATGTGCTGGGATTCTGTATGCACACACTGGGATTCACAGGAAAAATGCATTATTTTACACGTACACATATACAGAGCATCTCTGGAATGAGCCAAGCATTACTGCAGAGATATATGTATTAGCTCCTCCTGAATAAAACAGGAACTATCTTAATAGAAAGTTCTTCTTTGAAGTGGACCTTCTGATGTTTACCTGACTAAGGTCAGTGTTCTTGGCTTGGTTTCTGTATGATTTATTTATTCCAGCCCTGTGGTGAAGCTGATAAATTCTGGCGTGACAGCCGGGAGGGAGGTGACCTAAGGACAGATGATATAACTGTGCAGAGTTTAGATGCTGTGGGTTGTATTTAAAATGTATGTATATAGTATTATTATTTGTAATATATTTTATTTTTCTGATTTAACCTAATCAATATAATCTATTACATTTTTGCTGTTACACATATATCAACCTGGCTACATTGGTCTTAGAAAGTATTTGTGGTGTTTCATCGCCACTTAGTGAAAGCCAGAAAAGTTTACCTATTGTGTTACAGTGGAGTTCAGTACACTCCATCACTGTAGAGTTAAACACATTCTGTGAACAGACCTACCAGGAGCTCATGATTGTGTGGTGTCTTTCAGCCTGGAAGTTTATCCGGCATTCCTGTTCTTCCTGGTTGCTGGAGGACTTACACATCCGGTAAGAAAGTATGCAACAAATATTATTGACAAATAAAGCTAGAATTTCATTGTTAACACTAAAAGATGAGGCACATAAGCACTTTCCAGAAGCACATGCACAATGTAATGAGTTATTTAAATTATTTTTGTACCGTAAATTGCCTTTAATTTTATACAGCTCTAACTGCTTTAAAATTAAATCTATAACACTTTTTTGAGAAATTTGCTTTTCATTCTATGCCTTTTTAGTAATATGTTACATCTGTTAAATGCAGACTTAAAATATTTTTGGGTGAATGTTTGGAATACATTTCTGAACAATGTGATCTTTTAGTAATTCAAACTTGTTTATTTGCCCTCTAACACAAATTTTTAAGTGTTTAGCACCTCTGACCCTTGCAAAAGGGCATTCTGTGCTTCTACGTATTTGTCCTTTGACATACACTATTTTTACTTAGTATATTTTTAATTATAAAATGTATACACACACACGTCCTAGGGCACTTCTCCAATGATATTCTCTCTGTTCAGGTAATCCCTGGCAGAAACCATGAATATTAATTAACTGGGGAATGCTCGTGGTTTTTACTTCCGTGCGGACTTACATAAACTATACGTTTTACAAAATATGCATATTGCTGTGATGGACAATTCAGTCCTCCATCCAGGATTGAGATATAAATTATACACCTTTTTAAAGAAAATAAAAAAATCGGGGCTTGTTCTGTAGGGACTAGTCTGTAATGACCGCAAGTGTAGCTTCAAAAACATTGAATTGATTATTCCTTTTTAACTAAGCTTTGTTTCTGTGCTCACTCACTGTCTATACCTTCTCTTGTTTTATAGCGTCTAGCTAGCACACTAGGAGTTGCTTGGATTGTTGGTAGAGAATTGTATGCTTATGGATACTATACGGGAGGTGAGTATTGTTTTATTGTCAATCACAAATTTTAAAAAAGATAGTTATTTACGAGAGAAACCCTTAATTTAATAATCCCGTTCAGGCAGTCACTGACAGTTCTGCCCTTCAGTATGTAGAATGCATCAGCTCTTCTTGTGAAATCAACTTCCAAGAGGTACAATCAATAATTAATTCATATCACATCAGAAGCATGTGAATTCATTGTAGTGCTAAGCAGCACTTTCAAGCAGAGCAACCTTCATAAATTTTAAGCATTTTGCATAAATATGGTGATAGGTTCTTAATTTTAAAGCTTCAGTTCTTGAGATGCCCCTACAAGGAAAATAAACATTTTACATTAAAGGGACACTATAGTCACCAGAACAACTAAAGCTTAATGTAGTTGTTCTGGTTAGTATAGTCAGTCCCTACAGGCTTTTTGCAGTAAACAGTCTGTTCAGAGAAAAGTGTTTTTACATTGCAGCCTAGGGACACCACTAGAGGCCAATCCTCAGACTCCTGTGTCAGTGCTGCACAGTTTGCAGCACTGATGTTCAGTGTCTGCATGGAGACACTGAACTTTCTTCAGAGATACTTTCATTCAATACATCTCCATGAGGAGATGCTGTTTGGCCAGGATTGCATTTAGCTCCACCGCCAGCCCACCTCCTTGGCTGAGATCATCCCTATGGGAAAACATTGTAAATGGCTGACATTATCACTGATCACATCTTCAGTTTTCTAGTTATGTGGGCCTAGCATATTTTTCTAACACTATAGGGTCAGATGTACCCATGACCCTATAGTGGCTATTTAAATATTTTCTGCACTATACATTCCATAGCCTGTACAACTGTTAAAACCTAAAAAGAGTATGAAGATTCAGGAGGTTTTTGATTTCCACATGCAATGGTGAATAAACTTTAAAATTCATTGGCATTTCAAAGAACTGAAGGAAATCTTAACTAGAGCTACAAAAAGTGGTTGGTTGAGTATTTCTCTCTAAAGAAGCACAGAGAGAATTTTGCAAAGTGCTGCCATCCAAGTTTTGTAGATATTTGTCTCTGCTCCTCTCTTCTACTATGAAGAGAAACAAAAGATCTTGCCTACTTGAATCTAACCTGGGCATTAAATCTAACTTAAAGTGAGGAACATATACAGATCTATATGAATCAGCAGAACGAGGATAAGCAAGTTGTAAGAGCTTTCATACACAGAAGAGAAAAGACAGCCACTAGAGACAGTCTTACATTGCATGGTTAAAGGGACAGACATTGGATCCAGAAAACCTTTTTAAGATGACATTGTCTGGGCCTATAGTGTCTTTAGTATCAGCAAGTTTGGAAAGAAGACATAGGTTTCGTGAAACATACTTGCTGAATAAACTAGGAATCAACCAATTTTTTTTTTTTTTTTTAGAGCCGATAACGATAATCTGTGAACTTTCAGGCCAATAGCCAATAACTTACCAATATTCTGTACATTTACCATTTTAGAAAAAATAAACTATTTCTAAAGGTAAATGCACAAGATATACATGCCACATGTAGTGGATGCAGTGTGTTTAGACAGGGGAGCTGTGTGTGTTTGTGTAGTGTGTGTGTGTGTGTGTGTGTGTGTATATATATATATATATATATGTATATATAATGAATGCAGTGTGTTTGTTTGTCATGGGCCGGGCGGTCCTGATCGGCAATATCGGTATCTTTATTGGCCAATACCGATATTGCCGAAAAGACATAATATTGTCCAGACCGATAATCGGTTGATCCCTAGAATAAACTATGTATAAGCTAAGAAATTAGAGTAGTAAATTGTTTCATTTATTTTTTCTATTCTAAATGTACACATCTCAATATTGATCATATGGAAAATTACTTTTCTTTGTTTTAATAATTATTATTAGATCCCAGCAAACGGACGAGGGGTGCAATTGGCTCATTTGCTCTTTTGGGTCTCTTGGGTACTACTTTCTGCTCAGCCTTCAAATTGCTTGGTTGGTCATTGCACCCGAAGACTTGGTGTTGAATGTGGAATCACTTGAAAGATGGGACCAGATTCTTTCAAAAAGAAGCCAGTCCGTATTGTTCAAACCCCTGTTCTATGTCCCTCCTCACTTAAAGGAGTGCATTTGCCAGGGCCTACAAGTCTTTAATTAAATTTTGCCATCACAAATTTGTATTTTCTAATTAAAAATCTTAAAAATCACTTTGTTTGATAACTTTGTATCAGATCACATAGAAAAAATTATCTCCATATGTTTGTGTAATAAGCGAAACTATAGGCACAAAAACAACTTTTAGCTTAATAAAGCGGTTTTGGAGTATAGATCAATCATCTGTCATAAGAATTAAATCACTTTGTTTATTCAAGTCTAGTCCCACCTCCCTGTATGTGTTACCCGGTTTCAGTACTCTATTGCAATAATGGAATGAATATAGTGTCTTATTTACAGTTTAGTAGCAAATGCTGAGCTTAAACTTCAAACACCAGGTATGTGAACAGAGAGACAAGGATAGTGCACACAGAAACCATTGGAAAATTGTATACTGTTTATTTGAATTGCACTTCCAAAAATAAAATGTGCATTTTAGCAAAATAAGAGTATTCTAAGTGGGTTAAAGTGTCTGACAAGATAGACTGTTAAACAGCCTATGGTCCAGATGTCACTCTGAAAGCAAGGAGCTGCTCCTCATCCTATAAATCACGAGAGGGTAAAATCAATGGGGTTCATAAAGTAAAAACTGTGTGGAGCTGACTACACGAGCCGGGCATTTTAGGCCAAGATGGAAACATTATCCAGTTCTGTTTTGATATAAAATTTATAACACACTAGTCAATTCTCTACAATTTGGGTTTATTGAATATAACTTGATTACTACTTTTTTAGACCTATGAAACATTACTGGGAAGGTGAATTTGTCATACTATCTCATAGCAGTATTAAGATCGTGTTCAGAGAATATGAGCATGCCCACATCTAGAAAGCCGACTCAACTTTCCCCATCTCCACACAGACTGTCTTGAGCTGGGAGTAGTATTCAATGGCAACTTGCCCATTCTCCCGGCCAAAACCTGCAAACACAGAATTCAATAGAATTAACAGCATTCCAATGTACTACAAACCTCCAATAAGCAAAAGCCTATTCCATGATAACATTTGTATTGTGTAAAAAGGAAATTACTTGTAACTCTGAATGGACATAAATGAGCACATCACTGTTTATTGTACACAAATTCTAGTAATTTCGAACTGTTAATTATTTGTAATATGGTTTTAAGTTGTATAGGATTCATACAATGCATAAAACAATATAACACTGCTTAATGCCTATTATACATCACAAGGAAAACAGGGTGCACCGTGTGGGAGGTTATGTTGCCAAGAATTTGACAGGAATAAATTACACTAGTGATGAGAGAAGTGCTGGAGGCTCAGGTGTTTGGCCCAAACCATCTCCTGGCGTAGAGGACTGAGGTTTCACAGATCTCTGTGAGGAGTAGGGGGCATCCATGGTCTGCCATGAAGTATAATGTTGTCTGTGGTATTATATATGCCTTAGAAATCAGCAGAGCCATAATGTCATTATTTTACCTATGCTCCCTGAGGAAACTAATATGAGAACCTTGATTATGCGTGGTAACAGAGGAAAAACATACCACATAAGATGAGGAGCTTGGATCATGCAGGAGCCCCAATGTATGGATTGTTTGCATACCGCATAAGACGAGCCCGTATCATGCTGGGGCCCCGAATTATGGATTGTTTGGCTATTCTTGCCAAAAATATTAAATTGATAACTGAATTCACTTTGTTATTGTACTTCACTAATTGCACATGATTCTCCCAGGCTTATATTACGGAGAGCTGGAACAGAATAGAGCTGCTGCTAAATACAGACACAAGAAACAACAAATTACAGGGTGCGCCAAGAACAAAGTAAATAAATAAAATGTATAATAGGAAAAAAAAAAAATAACCAGGGAAACCGGCAAATTAAAGTCTCTAATTCGCAGGTCTATTCTTCAGAAATTCTCACGACGTCTTGGGTCAAGTCCCCACACAGAGGGGACCAATGGTGCAGTAACTTAAAGGAGTATGGCTACAGACAACACTGAGATTAAGAAATGCCAACTCACATTTATGGGAGCTATAACCAGCTTGAGTTAAAACAGAATACAGTGATATTTAAACTCCCCACATGTAGGATATTCCTCTCACGAGATTTTCAGTGCAGTTTATATGAAATAAAAACACAAGAGAAGGCCCATAGTGTTCTCTATATTAGAAAAGTGCTGGATAAAATAAGATATGTACTCACAATTTACAGAGCAGACAAACCGCTCTGTGTAAAGCGCTTGGGTTGTACGATTCCCACCATGGATTCTTTGGATGGTATAAAAGCTTCAGATGTTTAGGATACGCCAGGTAAAAAAATAAGGATAAATATAAAAGTATTTAAAATAGTCCAAAAAAATACTTTTATTTAGATTAAAATACAATGCGTTTTGCCACAAAGGGCTTCTTCAAGTGTACACCTTTGTGGCGAAACGCGTTGTTTTAATCTAAATAAAATAATTTTTTTGACTATTTTAAATACTTTTATATTTATCCTTGTTTTTTTACCTGGCATATCCTAAACACCTATACCATCCAAATAATCCATGGTGGGGATCGTACCACCCAGGCGCTTTACACAGAGCGGTTTGTCTGCTCTGTAAATTGTAAGTACATCTCTTATTTTCTCCAGCACATTTTTAATATAGAGAGCACTATGGGTGTTTTTATTTCATATAACCTGCACTGAAAATCTTTAAATACCACTGTATGCTTTTTTAACTCGAGCTGGTTATAGCTCCCATAAATGTGAGTTGGCATTTCTTAATCTCAGTGTTGTCTGTAGCCATACTCCTTTAACCCCTTAATGACACATGACATGTGTGACATGTCATGATTCCCTTTTATTCCAGAAGTTTGGTCCTTCAGGGGTTAAGTTACTGCACCATTGGTCCCCTCTGAGTGTTTTTTTCTTTCATATATGCTGATGAGAACTTAACCCAAGACGTCCTGAGAATTTCTGAAGAATATACCTGTGAATTAGAGACTTTAATTTGTCTGTTTCCCTGGTATTTTTTTTTCCCTGTTATACATTTTATTTATTTACTTTGTTCTTGGCGCACCCTGTAATTGTTGTTTCCTGTTTTTCCAGTCCTTTGAAGGGTTTTGACGGTTACCCTTCCTTTCAGGTGTGCAGCCTCCCCCTCCCCGTTGTGATCCATTTGGATAGCGCTGTTCCATCCCTCTTTTTTCCTTATTATTAAATACAGACACAAGACCTTGCCGAGAAGATTGTACTTACCAGACCTCTTATATCCTCCAAATGGCAATTCCACTGGGCTTACATTGTAGTTGTTTATAAAGCACATTCCAGCCTGCAGAGCAGCAGCCACTCTGTGTGCACGTTGGATGTCACTAATGGGAAAGAAATGCCTGGGCATTATATTATATTTAAAAGGTGCCAACAAATTCCATAGCGCTTTACAATGGGTGGACTAACAAACATGTAATTGTAACCAGACAAGTTTGACACACAGAAACAGAGGGGTTGAGCTCAATGAGCTTACATGCTAGAGGGAGTAGGGTAAAGTTACACAAAAAGGTAAGGGAAGTAGATTGATAGAATAGTATTCAATGAAGACTTAGTGTGGGGTTTTAGAGCCATTGATATGCTTTTGTGAAAAAGTGAGTTTTTAGGGAGGATAGATAGGTGGGAGTAGCATTATTATATGTATATATATATATGTATTGTGTATAAAGATATGTGTTTAACAATGTAGTGACTATCCACTGACTTCAGGTGGAACGAGTTTTCAATCACCTTTTCCCCATCATAACGCTATTGGTTTGTGCTCCACAAGTAACTCCAAGCCTTAATAGCAAACCAGTAACCAACATATCAGCTGTTCATGAGTGGTTCACTGGCTTTGCACCTTTTCCTGCATTGCGTTTTAAAAGCTGTTGTGTACAGCTGACAAACTCCACGGAATCCATGTATAAAATTAAATAAATTAGGCAAAAAGGTGGTTCTTTGTTGAACTAATCTGCATATGGCCACCATAGGCGTGCGCAGCCTTTTGCATTAGGGTGTGCACCCTAAAGCACAAACACACGCCGCGTGTATATGTATGTATGTATGTGTATATTTATATATATATATATATATATATATATACATATACACACACACACACACACGTTTGTGTGTGCTGTGTGAGAGTGCTATTAGTGTGATGTGTGTGTGAGTGTGTTGGTAGTGTGCTATGTGGGTGAGGGTGTTTATGTGTGTGTGTGTTTGTGAGGGTGCTGTTAGTGTACTGTGTGTGAGGGTGCTGTTTATGTGTGTGTGTGAGGGTGCTGTATGTGTGAGGGTGCTGTCTGTGTGTGGGTGCTGTGTGTGTGTGTGCTGTGTGTGGGTGTGCTGTATGTGTGTGGGTGCTGTGTGTGCTGTATGTGTGTGAGGGTGCTGTATGTGTGTGAGGGTGCTGTGTGGGTGAGGGTGCTGTTTGTGTGTGTGGGTTCTGTATGTGTGTGAGGGTGCTGTATGTGTGTAAGGGTGTTGTGCGTGTGAGGGTGCTGTGTGTGTGTGTGGGTGAGGGTGCTGTATGTGTGAGGGTGCTGTCTGTGTGTGGGTGCTGTGTGTGGGTGTGCTGTATGTGTGTGGGTGCTGTGTGTGAGGGTGCTGTGTGTGCTGTATATGTGTGAGGGTGCTGTATATGTGTGAGGGTGCTGTATGTGTGTGAGGGTGCTGTATGTGTGTGAGGGTGCTGTGTGGGTGAGGGTGCTGTTTGTGTGTGTGGGTGCTGTATGTGTGTGAGGGTGCTGTATGTGTGTAAGGGTGTTGTGCGTGTGAGGGTGCTGTGTGTGTGTGTGGGTGCTGTATGTTTGGGTGATTTGTGGTTGTGGAGGTGGGGGCAGATTAGTTAATAAATATCCCCCCTCCCTTCTTACCTTTTGTAGGGAGGGGAGATCCTTGTTGCTGCTGCCTTCCCTGGTGGTCCAGTGGAGGTGGGGGCAGATCAGTTAATATCCCCTCTCCCTTGTTACCTTATGTAGGGAGGGGGACCATGCTGCTGCCTTCCCTGGTGGTCCAGTGGAGAGTGAACTCTAGCCTGCGGGGCTAGAGTTCACTCTCGCGAGCTTTGAGCGTTGCCATGGCAACGCTCAGATCTCGTGAGAGGAACCCGGCGGAGCTGCTGGCAAGAGCTCCCCGGGTCATCTCCTGCCTCCTTCCCTGCATGTGGACCGGTGGGGAGGGAGACTGAGATCAGAGCCGGCAATCGGATAGCTCTGCATGAGCCGACAGGGGATATCCTGAGATCTCCCTTGCCGGTCTCACTCCATAGGCACACCCGGCACACCCTGTGCGCACGCCTATGATGCCCACCCAGAATCCCTTGCAGTAGTAACAGCACTGCAAATTTGAGATTTATGTGGGAAAAAAGCAAGTCTTATGGCTGGTGTGTGCAGAAATGTGTTTAACAATGTATTTAGTATCTCTCTCTATAAATATAAATATTTTTTTTTTTTGCATTTTTTTTTTTAAAGTGATATGATCAATAAAGTGAGTGTTATTATCGTACGTGTAATAATAATGTGAGTTATGATAACAATAGCAAATAATGAGGGTACAGCCAAAACTTCCTATAAGAACAGTTAGATATTTTCTTTTTTTGTCAAATATTTTCTACCAAGAATTGGCCTTTGTCTATTATTTTATTCAAGATCTGTGAAGCAAACAAGAATTGGTTTACTAGCTTTTGGTGCTATGCATGATTAAAAACACTACTATTTGGATTTACATCAGGGAGCTTGGATTTGCATCAGGCGTAATATGACACCGGTCTATAATTATGAGACTACATTATATGCAGCCAGGAAAGAAGCAGGTAAGGAGGCTGCTTGCTAGAATGCTGATGCTACCTACCCCTGCCAAACCATACATAGTTAATGTCTCAAGTGTAGCAGTTTTAACATAAAAATGTGTCAGAGTAGACTTAAAGGACACTATAGTCACTAAAACAAGTTTAGCTTAATAAAGCAGATTTAGTGTATAGATCACACTTCTGAAGTGTCACTGCTAAATTCTCTGGCCTTTATGAATTAAATCACTTTTGTTTCTGTCCAAGCCTGGCTGGGATTGACACAGCCTGCATGGAAAAAATGTGTTAAATTTTTTCAATCAGATGTTAAGTTACTTTAGAGGATTATTTTTTTTAACTGCTCTGAAAATTGGACTTTAATCACACACAGAAGGCTCAGACAAGATCTAGCAGGCCATTAACAGTGCAGGAGATAAGAAATTCTAGATGAAACAGACTGTGCAATGAAGTAGGTTAAAGCATTATAGGAACTTTACAAGAACTGTTTAGGAGGGCTGTGCTAGTCACATGCAGGGTGTTGTGACTAAGGCTGCTTAAACAAAATGATTTAACTCCTAAATGGCAGATAATTGAGCAGTGAGACTGCAAAGGCATGATCTAAACATCAAAACTGCTTCATAAAGCTAAAGTTGTTTTAGTGCCTCTAGTGTCCCTTTAAACAGTATATAAGCATTGCTCAAACCTGGTGAATACTCCTCCAGCCAATCCATAGGTGGTATTGTTGGCCCTTTCCAAAGCCTCTTCCTCTGTTTCAAATGACAGGATAGACATAACTGGGCCAAAAATCTCCTCTTTAACACACGTCATGTCATCCCTGCAGTTGCCTGTTTAAAAAAAACATGAAAAAACAAACCTATCACATAGTGCAAATTTATTATGTTCACTTATATGTTCATACTTCTTTCCCATTAATGTACTGACATGTCATAATGCTATACATGGACACAGAAAATACAAAATCACTATGCATGACATGACTGGTTCATTTAAGGTTTCAATATCCAACCTTTGTCATTTTAAGGTGGACGAGCTAGACTTGAAAGGAGTGTTTGAGAAAAAGGAAGTGGAAATTGGAATGGACGTGAAGATAAATTGAGAGGTACGGGAAAAAACAGAAGTATTAAAATTTAGCAGGTCATGAAATTAGGAAGACTTGGCATTGATGTTTAAAATCTAAAATTGTATTTAAATTACCCTGTACTGTTTTTTTTTTAATGCAATGTTTGAAAAGTACTTTGGTACTCATGAGGTTTAATACACAGTAGACATGTGCATAAGATGAGATGGGGCCATTCTAGCAATTGGACAGCAATGGCTGCCCAGTCACTAGTTTATGTTTAGTAGATATGCCCCTACCTGACATACAGGAGCTTAAAGGTCTATCTCCTTTACAGTAATATGGGAGTCATACTTAACCCCATATATATGCTAGCAAGCTCTAAGCGCTAAGACTCTGTTTAAATTACCCTGTACTGTTTTTTTTTTTTAATGCAATGTTTGAAAAGTACTTTGGTATTCATGAGGTTTATTACACAGTAGACATGTGCATATGATGAGATAGATAGCCACTAGAGGAGGATTTAACCGTGCAAGGTAATTATTGCAGTTTATAAAAACTTCAATAATTACACTTGCAGGGTTAAGGGTAGTGGGGGTTGGCACCCAGACCACTTCAATGGGCAGAAGTGGTCTGGGTGCCTGGAGAGTCCCTTTAATTTGGGCTAACATTTAAAATTCACTTGGAATTCCTAACTGTTCACATTTTAGTGGTTAACTCGGATAGAAAACTCAATATTCTTCATTATCTCTATCTTTTTCTGTTTAGGAGAGTGTATAACTTTGAAGTGCTTGCAGGACCATCTTATTTTTTTTCACAAAACAATCCAATCTTGATTTTTTTTTTTTTAGTTAGCTTGTAACAATGTAATATTTTTGCATTTTCACATACAAAAGCACATGATATGGGGAAATTATACCTAATACACAGGGGGATATGTAATAACCTCCCTTCAGTTTAGGATCTTCAGGGGTGTAAGGTTCTCCACCAATCAGTATTTTGGCACCCTAAATTATTAGAAAAGAAAAAAAACAACAAATATAAAAGAACATTTTACATTGTTTTAGATTTTACTCTTATAAGGGCAGCTCACTCAGCAAGTTACGGTAGTAAAACCGTAAATGGAATCTTGAGAAAAGTATAGCAGGAATCATATGGCATTATGGGAGGTGATAGTTACAGCAAGCAGGAAGTTCAAGAATGGGAGTTACCATATGGGTATTAAGCACTGTTTGGATCTTTTACGTAGCTTTACGTATCCTAATAGCAGGTTTTAGAAGTAAACAGATGTCCAATTTGTTTTACCTGCTCCCTAGCAGTTTTAAGAAATCCAAGAACTTTTTCCATATGGGGACGGTTGATTAGAGGCCCCATCCTTGTGTTTTCCAAGAGAGGATCTCCAATTTTAATTGTTTTCACCTTCTTCACCACAGATTCAGTGAATTTCTCCAGGATGTCTCGGTGAACAAAGACACGAGTTCCATTGCAGCACACCTGAAAGCCCATAATGACATAAAAGCTAAATCTCTTAAAAGCTAGTTTGGTCTGCCAAATTAATATTGGCAGAATAGAGCCATGCTGCAATAAACAATTCTGGGCACTAACATAGAATGTATTGAGGAAGAGCTTGAATTGGTGAAAGGGTTCATCTTGTTGTCACACATGCAATTTTCTCTAAATCCTGTTGTGCTCAGAGGTTAGGATTATGCAACGCCCTAGAGTGCCAATTTAAGTAATATCTTTAAATTCCACACAAGATAAGAATATTTAGCAACACATAATTCCCTGGTGACGGTTAAAGTTGATCAGGTGATAGATTCTACACTCATACTCATACAGTTAGAGCAGACTAAGCATTTCTGAAGGGTTCATCCCCAGAGAATGAGGCTTTTTTTTTTTTTTTTAATAACTCAAAATCTTTACGATTAGTTGCACAGCCTCTCAGCACTATCTCCAGCCTTTAATAATCATTAGAAGAAACTGCAGATTTGATTTTTTTATTGCAACAAAAGCTGGAGAGTGTTGCCTTGGAAAGGAGTGCACAGATGCACTTAGTTTGAATGTATCCAACATGGAGCTTTCTGTCTGTATTGGATCAATGTTTTGGTTCCCCAAATATATTCTCAGTACATTACCTTGATACCTTTAAAAAGCTACTAATATATTAATGGACGAAAATATTGCTCAGTTTAAGCTTCCGGGTGATCTTCAGAGTTCAGACATAATGGGCATTGATGTATTATTGTAGTAAAATCTGCCACTATACACATTAAGACATTACCTCTAAGTTGTGCATGTCCCTCTTGAATTCAATGACTCACTCTATGACCAAGTTCATTATCTACAATGTATCATGAAACCAAAAAGAGCACTTTTTCACATTTTAGCCCTGGCTGAAATAACATCTCTACTTATCAAGGCCCAAGACCTAATCTTGTGACGCAAAGTTTTTCTGGTGTGTAAATATCCTTGTAACATTCCATGGCATTATTTACCTGCCCCTGTGTGAGGAAGTTTGCCATCATAGCTCCATTCACAGCATTTTCCAGGTCACTGTCTGGGAAGATAATGAGCGGAGACTTTCCACCAAGCTCCAGGGTAACAGGTTTGATACCTTGAGAAGCCATTTCCATGATCTGTGGATAATCAGAAATAATTCTATTTGTAGCTGGTTTCAGAGCATAATAAGCATATTGATAGTTGCATCTAGCTCTAACGGATGCAAGCATATTCAAAGCAAAGGGTAAGTTGAAGGCTAGTCTAAGAGACAGCTTACTCTGTAGTAATTTATAGGAAGAAGTTGGAAAAGAAACATAGTGGAAGAGAAGGGTGAGCTTAATTACTAGCGTCAAGGCTGTACAGAGCAAGTGCTTGGTATTAAAAACCCTCTGACCACACTGACAAATTTAGGTTAAATAATTAATTTGACTTCTTTAATAAGAGCAACACTGTTCCATTATGATGAAGGGAATCTCGGATTATGAGCTGTGAAGAATGCGGTCACCTTAGAGCCTGTTGGGACACTGCCAGTGAAAGACACCTTGGCCACATCTGGGTGTTTGCAGAGGAACTCCCCTGTGGATGCTCCACCTTGAACTACATTAAAGAGACCGGTTGGAGCACCAGCTTCTGCAAGGATCTCAGCCAGCATAACCACGCTGATGGGAGTAAAAGGTGATGGTTTGTACACCATGGCATTACCTGGAAAATAATATGGCAATCAAGAGCTTGACTTCACATGTCAATTCTATGTTAATACAGTATTAAAGTTTTGGAGTAAGACAAGAAAAACATGTAATATACCCACCAAGAGACATGTTTTATGTCACAGACATTCAGATCAGGTGTTTGAATTACATTCAACTCACATCCACCAGGCGTTGAATGTCAGGGTCAAGATTAACCAGTTACATGATAGCTGAAACTAAATATTAAACTCAACCTAGTTGAATTTAGGCCCATATCGGGTTGAGTAAGACAAGCTGAAAGTGGTAGATTTACCGCATGCCAGGGCAGGGCCTGCTTTCCAACACGCGATCTGGAAGGGGTAATTCCAGGCTCCGATGCCTACGCAGACCCCTAGAGGTTCCCGCCTTGTGTATGCAAACGATCCCCCTGGGAGCTGCACATGTTGCCCTAGAAAAATAAAAGGAAAAAAAAACATCATCTGACTTTATTGAATTTGTTGCTGAATGCCTTGTCTGGGGTTGCATGTTTTGCAATTTTTCATGGAATCAGATTACAAAGCATGCCAGGAAACATGTACTAATGTAAAGAAATTCTGTGAAGTTACACATGCAGCCACACATAAAATACCAAGTGTAAAAAAGTAAAAATCCAAATAACAGATAATCTAGATATTCACAAGCTATTCTGCTGATACAGCCTGTTATAAACAAAATATGGAGTTATATAGTTGCATAGTAATTTAGGTTGAAAGAAAGACTAAAGTCCATCAAGTTCAAACTTTAAGCCCATTGTTTCATGCTGTTGATCCAAAAGGCAAAAAAATTAAAAAAAATTGTAGCCATTTCCAATTATTATTATTCAAATTAAAAAAGAGAAAAAGCCTTCTAGACTCCATAATGGCAATCCGATTTCTCCTTGGATTAACAACCTGTTCACATACATATCAATTATATCTTTGAATATTCTGTTATTAAGCAGAAAGGCCTTTAAAAAATATATATATATAGCTGTAGCCTTAACAACCTCGGAATTCAATGATAGACTGAAAGTCCTGGTAAACGACCCCCCAGCTCTCTCAGCCTATCATTACCATTTAACCCCTTAAGGACACATGACGGAAATATTCCGTCATGATTCCCTTTTATTCCAGAAGTTGTGTCCTTAAGGGGTTAAGGTTGGACGCTTATGCACTTGATCATGTGGAAGTATTATATGTACATTATATGCATCTTATCCACAGAAGCTGCACAAGCTTTGTGTGCTCCAAAGCAGTTTGACATGATATCGTAGAATAACACTATTAGTGCCATAGCCACTGCACTGAGCTGTAGTGCTTATGGTGTTTAAAGAGTCCCCTTAAATTCTAGCAATTTTATGATCATCAATGCTGTTTTGTAAGTCCAGAGAGGTCTTACAAGCAATGATATTCTCTGATTTAGATTAAAGAATTGTGGCATATTTATGTAGGGAAGACCTTTAGCATCACTTTATAACTGGTCAACCAATGGCCAAAGCCATCCCACAATTCACCTTACCTGCCATAGAACCTGCAAGACCTGCGTAATACTCCAGAGTCAGCCATGAAATTTCTATATCCACTCTGGCTTCAAAGATTGATTTTCCATTATTTATGGTTTCTATGGTAGCAAGCTCTTCAGTGCGCTCCTGTTAGGTAGTAAGTAATAAGTCAGCATGATTTCAAATTTCACAGAAGTCATTGGCATTGAAATAAACTGATTTTTTACTCTAACATGTCAGTGATTTGAATCACACAGAATGCCAGTAATATTCACATTGTATTACCATATACTAGACACTAGGCAGTGCCATTTCCTCATTACATGCAAACCCTGTGGAAGTTGTCTAAGACCAGGTATTCCAAACGAAAGTTGCTACTTGAAACTCATTTGGCTATTCATAAAATGCAAATTTGTCTATTTCAGCAATTTTTGTTAGGCTGTTTTGCTGGCACTCAGCTGTTAAAACGTGCCCAATCTTCACATATAAAAAAAAATAAAAAATACCTGTGCATTATCCCAAAACCCTATGCACGTTTAAATAAAGGAACTTTTTTTAGAATCACTATCTATCTATATATGTAGATTTGCAAACCCTCCAAATGGCCTAATTGTAACTGTATGACCAGGGACGCTGCAAAGGTAAAAAAAAAACCTCTCAGGGCTTGAGCCCCAAACAAAGCTCCCTTAGCTCAGTAAAAATGAAAAAATGCTGGGGCGGGGGGAAGCTAACTTTTCTAAAATAACTTGTGCCAGAGACACTAAACCTGACCTCTGCCATTCTGATTAACTACAACTGTAATATGGACTTTCTCCCCTCACTCATTTAATGGCTCACTAAATGTTTAACAGCTTGGCTTCTAGCTACACCAAGTACTTTGGTCTTAAATCGAGGATTGCAGCATTTTATTGTATTTCATAAATTACCCCACTAACATAATGGTATCTTTATTCCTGCTGTAGTGCAACACTAAACAACCTGTAGCACATTTATTTTCAAAGTAACAAAACAGACCTTTTTACACTGCACACATATCTGGAGGCATCCAAACTCCACCACTTTGCAAATCATTTTACAACCCTTCTCGGGTTTGTCTGAAAGCGAATATTGGTCATAAATTAATGAATGACCAAATTGGTTAGCTGAAAGGAATTCGTTTGGTGGCATTCATTTATTCAGTGAACGCTATTGCAGTTCTGATTGAATGAGCTCATTTGTCAATGCTGCTTTCCCAGGAGTACTGTTTCTATTTTCCTGTTTTTATTAAGATTTTTCATAGCTGGATTCCAGTATTATACATGATTTAATTTGAATTCCATGCCCTTCCTATTAGTACCTAGTGTTCAGTGCTCATATACGAAGCTCTATGATTGTCTCTCTCAATTTACGGAACATATCTTCAATGAAGATATCTGTGATTGAGACAATGCATCAATAATAGAGAGCTTTGTATATGAGAAGTAGGAAGGTATTTCGTATATACAGGAAGCCAGGTGAAGCTTTGAAAAATGAGCTGGGCTTCAAACAAAAGATATATAAGAACAACTAAAGTAAATGGAATATCCCCCTGTTCATGGGTTGTTCTGGGTTGTGACTGCCACCTTTTATTTCCATAAACTCTGTAGGACTGAAATTTGTTAAAATACATTTTTTTAAATGTAGGTTTGACAGAAACTATACTTAAAGAATGTCAGATTAACCAAAAATAGATATCACCATTGAGGAGCAAGGTGATCTGACAAGGTCCAAGGTACGAAAAGACCATAGAAGGTTCAGGATTTAGAAATGCAATATTCTAGAGTTTAATACTTTTTCTTTGAGTGGCTTGCAGATGAATATTACAGAACATAACAGGGTTATTACTAAAGTCCAAGGGGCTCAGTTTCAAATATACTATCTAGAATGCTTTTATAAAGGCCTTTTAAGTCTTGAATGGTCAGTGAATACTAAGCCATCCAAAGACCAATAGTTGATTTTTTAGTTGATTAAAAAAAAAAAAAAAAAAACTTTTTTCCAATAGTTTGTTTTGGGGGGTAGGGCTGAAAAATTATTATAGAAAAAAGAAGATTTATTGGACGCCCTCTCATTTTTGTTAGAGTGAGAGGAGTAGGATTATTTACTGGGGAAGGCCCCTGGCTACCAAGAATGAGCAACAAGGGACCATGAGGTGGGGGGTGGACTCCTGGCATGCCAGCCCACAATTATATTAATGCCTCCCTGACCTGATGGGCTGGGGAAGACAAAGGCATTTTCCCTCCCCGGATCGTTTTAATAATTCTCATCTGCTAGCCATGCATGGGGCTACGGAACAATGGCATGTCCCTTCATTTGTATTTATTTTATAGACCCCCATATGCATTTTTATTTTCAATTTTAATGCTTAATAGGGTGTAAAGCATGTGTCCCTTTAAAATATTTAAACTTACCACTGCTACCCAGAGATTCTCATTATTAGAATACTCCATCCCATTGCCCATGGCATAGACTCACAGGGTAAAGCAACCATCCACCATCCAGATATTGTGGACTACATCTCTGATAATGTCTCTTATAGCCATAATGCTAGCAAAGCAGCAAGGGAGATGAAGTCCACAATATCTGGAGTGCTGAAGGTGCCCAAAAGGTAGATGGATGTTTTAAAACTACAGCTTTCATGATGCGTTGTCATTCTAATGACATGCAAAGCATCATGGGAGTTGTAGTTCTACAACATCTACGTTTTCGGGCACCCCTGGCCTAGATTACTAATGGTTGAGCAGCATCTGTCTGCTTACCGTGCAGGTGACATGCACCCACTTGATTTTATCGTGTTTTTAGATAAATGAAGGGTATTTTGACTTCCAAATGCTTTTTTTTTTTTTTTTTTTTTAAATGGTGGCAGGCTAGAGAGAATTGGCCAGCCAGTGGTCAAATAGTCCAGATTTTTAAATAATGGTTCCACCAATGAATATTTAACTTTCAATCCACCATGAATATTTAACTTTCTGTTCCAGCCGCTTGATTGCAGCTGGACAGGATGAAATCTGGACTACAGTCAATCTAACTCATATTGCCAAATCCTGATAAGGTCTGGATTTTGCAATCTGAATGCACCTGGAATGTCTTAGATATTTGCTAATCCAGACCAGAGAGCATTTGGATTTTAGTAACCCTTATAATATTAAAGTGTCTAGTCAAGAGATTAGCTTAAAAGGAACACTAACGTTGGAAATACAAGCGTGTATTTCTAACGTTAGTTTCCCTGACATTTTAGGTTATTGGGCCCCCTCTGGATTATTATATTTTCACTTACCTTCTATTCCATGCTGCGCTGTTTTTTCTGGTGCCACCACACACCATCATGAGGATGATGATCTTAGCCAATCAACTGCTTCACCATGAACTGAGGGGCTACTGCATATGCATGGCAATCACCGTGCTAGGCGAGTCAGGGCCTCCTCATAGAGATACATTATATCAATCCATCTCTATGCAGAGTGTGAAACCGCTGCATGTCCGTACTGCAAAGACTGCAGGACCACACTAGTAGCTGCCTGCTTATAAGGGACACCTCTAGTGTCTGTCACTCAACATAAACGCTGACATTTTTCTTTTTCTTTAGAAAAGACAGTGTTTACTCTGCAGAAGCTTCATGGACATAAAAAGAACACTCCACACACCTAAAGCACTTTTGCTTGCCGAAGTCCTTTAGGTGTGAAGAGTGTGCATTGTACATTTCAGTACAAATTGGCTCTTCTATTAAAGAGAAACTGTTATGCCTTACCTGGCCCTCTGCTCCCCTTCCACAAGCTCATTAAAGAGGTGGATGTTACAGCATGCTGGCGTCTGAATGGAGTATCATATGGTGGGGAGGGGAGAAATGAGCACAAATAAGAGGAGCTGGGGGAATGAGGCACATATGGGGGGAAAGGGGAAGAATGAGGCACATATAGAGGGAGCTTGGGGAATGAGACATATATGAGGGGAACTGAGGTAATGAGACAAATTAGGGGTAATGAGACACATTGGGAGGACTGGGGGAAATACAACACATGTTGGACTGCAGGAAATACGACACATAGGGGAGAAAATTACACAAGAATGGAGGGACTGGGGGTAAATGAGACACATGGAGAGGCTGGGGTTGGACACAGAGACATTGAGAGGCTGGGGGGAAAAGAGACAAGGTGCTGGGGGAAAGAGACACACAGAGGTGCTGAGGAAGGTGCAAAAGAGACAGAAAGTGACTGTGGAAGGTATAAGAGACTGACATGGGTTAGGGGGTAGACACATAGAGGGGCTGGGGGGGCATCCTCGCCTGTACAGCTAAAACTCTTTGCACAGGCTTGTCTCCAAATGTTTACATTTGCTAGCAAAACTGCTAGCACAATGCATATATTGAATTTAATGCTCTTTTAATAAAGCTAAAGTTATTTTCTTCCATGACAGGTTCCCTTTCATGAACCTTGTTACACCCACTTTGCTGTCAGACAATTGGCTCTGTAACTTACTGGTTGTTTAGCTCAGGGAGGCTAGATTCAAGAAAGAGGCAATTGCCCAGAGCACCTGCCTTGCAAAGACTTCTCATTGAGCTTCATTGGGAAGTCTTTGATTGGACAGCCACATAAATTCTGAGCTGGGTTAGAAGGGAAAGGCTTGCAAATGCTACAGACAAGAGATAATTACCTTTTTCAAGTTAGATATAACCCCAATGATAAAAATGTGTAATTAAATGCATACATGTTTTCATTGGGGTATTTTGTTATGAAATTGTTAAAACAATTAATTTATTTTTTTCATTTGAATGTTCCTTTAAGCTATAGTGGTTCTGATACTTAAGAGTATCTACTTACATGTTTACCAAGGTTGACAAATTCTTTGCTTCTTTAATATAATTCTTTAGGATTATGAGCAAACGGTTTAAATTGGGGAGTGGGGAGAGTGTTATTCACTCAATATGCCACAATGAAGATTCTAACAGCTGCTAAGACATCAAATATTTTGATTAAATACTGAATACTCCGCCATACCCTGATGATCCGGGCTGCATCCAGCATTACTCTGCTCCGTTCCATTCCGGATTTTTGGCTCCATTGCTTGAAAGCTGACTTTGCACTCTGAATAGCTTCATTTACTTCCTTCTCTCCAGAACAATTGAATGTTGCAATAACACGACCTGTCAGACAGGAGAAAACAAGCTAGCGCAATCATTACGTATTAACAAAACTAACAGAAAGGACCGAATTTGCGGTATGCTAGCACTATAGTTGAGGACAGTTCCAAATACGGGACACTACAGAACAAAGTTGGGACAGTCCTGACAAAATCAGGTCGGTTGGGAGGCCTGGTGTCTCTTTAACATTTAAAAACTATTAAACCAAGTAAATCTGTTTCTCTGTCATGGAGATTATGAAAATATTCTTAATGTGTTTGTATTTCCCAGATGTTAGAGAAGGATACCCAGAGAACGGCATCATTTTAAAATATTTCATTTTTAAAGTACACCTGTTAACTGTTAAAGGAAATGAGGGAAATAAACTCTTAACTATATATACTGCCTGTGCGTGCGGCCGCCATGTTTGCTTTGTTTCGCTTGTTTTACTGCTCTCTGATTTTCCCTCGCTCCCCTTATCCCCATTTATTAACCATTTTTCTTGGCTTCTTGGCTGAGAAGGTTTAAGATGCAACAGAGCCCAAGGCGGATTACCAATGTGGATTACCCTTTCATTCTTCACATAAGGATTGTGAATGGGGATAAGCAAATCCATGGTTTCAGGAGCCCCATCTAGCCTCTGGGCCCTAGGCTGCCACCTAAGGTCACCCTTTGGTTAATCCTGCTCTACTTCTGTGGCCTGCAGGAGTTTTCTGCGGCTATGGGGCAGCAAGTCTCCCTTGTTGCCCCGAGCTGCTGGATTTGTTGGGATTTACCTCGGCCTTTATACAAAGGTGAGCCCAGGTTTGCTTGATGAGTCATGTTGCTGTTTATGCTCATTTTTCTGCATGCTGTTTGCTTCCCCTGTGGGTGAGCCCCACTGTCTTTTTGCCTTATCACTTTAGTTTCCTTGGCTCTGTTGAGTTGCATGTTGTTATCTTTGCTCTGCACAAGATAAACTGATGGAAGTCTCTGGACTTCTTACCCAAATGTTCCTCCTGGTAGATGACGCTCGTTCTCAGAGTACCTCCCTTGACATGTATACTGTGAGGGAATGCCAATCTCTTCAGACCACGGACCATAGGTGGGCTGCTTTACTATGCCTGAATGCCAAACTCACTGATCTGGTTATCAAGGAACCCAGACCGATGGCCAATGGAATGCTGTTCTGAGACATTTTCATCTGGGATCTGAACCACCATGTGGCATTAGAATATTAACTACATACACAGCACAAACTACTTACAGTATTGGCTCCTCTACAGGGAAAACATGGTACTGTTAATTGAAATAAAGAAATTAATCTAATGTTACATAGTTACATAGCTGAAAAGAGACTTGCGTCCATCAAGTTCAGCCTTCCTCACATTTTTTTTTGCTGTTGATCCAAAATAAGGCAAAAAAAAAAAAACGTTGACAAAGTATACATAGACAGTATTCAGACAGTGTTCTCTTAAACTAGGTCAGGAAATCATTTCATATGGACATGGAAGATTGGACTGTATCCACGGTAAAGCAAAATAATTATGAGTACCTGCCAAATATTGCACAACTTTTTGAAATCTCGCCAGTACTCTGGAGTTCATAACATCCATCATAACATCCATCAGGGATAATTCTCAAAAAATATTTAGGAATCTTTGCCTACTGCAATCAAGGCATTGTAGCTCCCATAATTACCTCCCTTTGCCACTGGTCCTTTTCCTTTAAATAGTTTTCTTTCTTTTATGGTGATCAACCTGGTATCTTTTTAACTAGCCGCCATTTTTACTTCTCCCCTGATTATGTGCATTAAAGTTGTTTTATCTACTTAAGAGGCTACTGAAATCCACTGGAATATTGCTCAGCACTCTCTTGCTGCACTAACAGGCTTGACAAAGAGATCATTTCTGTATTTTGTAAACTTCAGTCTATATAAGGAAACTTTTAACAGTAATAATAATACTAAAACATATATAAAAAGAGTAAAGAAAAAAAATAATTAGAAGTTAATTTAAAAAAAAACAACCTAGAGATGGCAGCAGAGGATTGGTATATTTCGCTAACATTTAAAGAATATTTAGACTAAATAAAATACGCATATACATGGTTATTCACTAAAGTGAGAATTGGCAATAAAAAAGTTAATTTCAAATGTTTGGACAAAATAGCCAAACTGGAAAAAAGTCTTCTATGCTTTCATTTCAGCTACTTCGGCCTCAAATTTGAAATTCACTTTGAGATCCTGACAATTCTCACTTTAGTGAATACCATTGTTATTGAGAAAATTCTAAAAAGTTCAAATCAAATTATCCTCATTAGTTTCTGTAAGAAGTTGGTGGAGTGGGTCATAAGGGACCTTTGCATACGGATAAGAAACATTAACCTATTGGCACAAAAACAAAGCTTATTTCCTTTTAGGCCGATTTACTTGCTGAACTCAGACACAAAATTATATGCAAAGATCTTGGCCAACAGACTTATTGTAATTCTTCCGGAAATTACTTCACTAGAGCAGGCAGGATCTATCCCCTTTAAGCAAGCCTTGGATAGCACCAAATGCTTCTTGGATGTTTTAAATGTAGTCACAAAGCAAAATTCTGCTAGTTTACTGAGCTTGCATTAGATGCCGAAAATACATGTCAGAAACAGTCAAACACATCCCTATCAGATAAAATTATGAATGCAGTTTTTTTTTCCTTCTTATAGAAACATAGAATGAAACGGCAGATAAGAACCATGCGGCCCATCTAGTCTGCCCAATTTTCTAAATACGCGCATTCTTCTTTTCAAATAACAGAACAAGGCAGGACTGTCCACTTTCCCCACTAATTTTTATTTTTGCTATAAGATAGACACCACCAGAACATAAACAGACTCTATTTGCCAATTATATTATTTTTTAATTGAAGACTCCAAGCAACTCTCTCCCCAATTTATTTAAACTGTTGGATGACATTGATAAAGTCCCCTTCTATAAAAATAACACACGGAAAGCCCAAGCTTTGCTTTTAGGTCTTCCAGACAATAGTGTCTCCCTCTTGCAGTCCAATTAAAAATTGGATTGAAGAAAGACTTCTCTTATCTTGGATTTCAATTAACTAGACAACCCATACCATAATTACTATAATAACTTATCCATAAGATCTAGTGTATCATAGAATCCTTGTCAAATTTGGAGCGGTCATGGGTGAAAAGAATCAACTTTGTTAAAATGTCTTTATTTCCTTTAATCCTGTACCTGTTGCCCATCCTAACTCTCTAACTCCAACAGTTGATTAATGCCTACATTTGGAAGAAAAAAACACCTAGAATACCTCATTCAGCCTGCTGGGTGTCTACTAAAATAGTAGGTTTGGGGGTTTATGGATGTCAAGAAATCTGATATAGATTATTATTACTGCTTATAAAGCGCCAATAAATTCCGCAGCCCTGTATAATGGGTGGACTAACAGACAAGTTGGAACAGAGAAGGTTGAGGGCCCTCCTCAATTAGCTTACTTGCTAGAGGAAGTGGGTATAGTGAGACAAAAAAGTGATAGGGTAGAAAAGTAGGTTGCTCACTAGACACCTACTGACTGCAGCTAAATCACTGATACCCACCCTGTGGAAAAAAACGACTTCCCCCACCTTCCAACAATGGGTGGATAGAGTGGGAGAAATACATTCCATGGAGTCCATGACAGCAGCCCTCCGGGGCCATTCGGAGAAATGCCACCTAACCTGGACCCCCTGGATCCTATACACCGCGGCAGCAGGCTCAGCCTCATGAAAAACTTTGCTCCGATAAGTTACCGATGCCCTCTCCCGCCTTACTCCTAATCTTGCTTCCTCTTTTCCCCAGCTAGACTACACCCGCCACCCCACCCCATGTAACCCCCTCAGCCTCTTGACTTCTGCTTGACCAGACCACCCCACACCACGTACTTGACTGAGACATTTAATCCAAGAGAACATATACAGATGTTCCATACCAAACACGGATCCACAGAGGGACAGCAGATAGAACTCACAAAAGCGATATTAAGGGACAGAAACACACAAGATACCCTAAACGCCCAAAAATCTAATGGCCCATAAGCTAGATCCACCGCACAATAGACCCCATAGCTTTTAGCCCCAGAAGCAACCCAACAACACACATGCAATACCACCTGCTAGGCTCGCACACCCGTGGGACATATCTCATACTCATGCTCCCCAACCACAGAAAAGAACATTTCCTACAGGGCTCGTACACCTGGACACAGGTGGGACGGGACAGGACACCCTAGCCACAACATTTGAAAAGCCCTAAACAAACCCGCCGGAAAGCCCCGCCACAAGCAAACCCACCCACACATACAGCCTCTACAAACTTGCACTTGGCTGGGCCCCACACCCCTCCCACGAATATCACGCCTTGAGCTGCAAGAGGTCCCAAATGGTTGGGGGTATGAGAATATCAAAGACATAGGACACTCACAGATACAGAACAGGTCGAATTGCACTTGATAATGGATATACCCACAGCTCTCAACTACTGTGTGATCTATAAACACGGAAATGGATATTGTTATGCTATTATGGATATCTATCACTGCATTGGTGCACTACAAATAACTGTTTGACTTCCCACCCTTTTCCCTTCTGTACACCCATCCTTTCAAAATTATAAAACTGAATACATAAATAAAGATTGTCAAAAAAAAAAAAAAAGAAAAGTAGGTTGCTAGAATAGTGTCCACTGAGGGCTTAGAGTTTTATTTCTTTTGGATGAAAGTTGCAGGAGAGGGAGCAAGGTGCGGGGAGGAAAAAAATAAAAAAATAGTTTAACTGATATGCTTTCCTGAAGAAGTGAGTTTTCAATGATTTATTTTGAAGGAATGAATACTGTGTGCGAGTCTAATGGAGCAGGGAAGGGAGTATTATTAATTTGCCCAGACAATGTGTCTAATATTGGGTCACTCTACTGCTCCCTGGGCATCATTAGAAAATATGTATATATGTCCTTACAAAATCATCCAACAGTTATGGTTCCAAAGCATCTTCTTCTCCCTTATAGAAACATTCTCACCACAACTAAACATTATTAAACATGGCAAACTTGGGCACCACAACTGTTGAATGCTTATAAACCACTAATATTAGCATTGCTGTCTTTCTTGAAAATTCCAGACATTAACTTGAACCCAAATTCAAATGATATTCAATTTATTTGTCAACTTTACCAATAAGCTGATCTGTCCTTTACCTCCAACATTCAACTAGCCTCCAATTACAACTTATTGGACTTTTATACATAACTCTGAACCAAACATGCTCTATCATTGTAATACTTATCTGTAGCCCAGGATCGGGTTGAGGAAACTTTATATACATGCAAGAGCACAGCAAAGTCTTTATCTTTGTTACACTCATACGGCTGAATACTCAATATCCACTAAAACTTCCAACATGTCCCAATGGGAAAGGGAGTTGGGACAGGAATTTTGTTTAGCGACATGGACATCTGCAACTAGTCAACTGTGCAATGCCTCAAAGGGGACCAATCATTGGGAAGTAAGCAAAAAAAAGGTTTACAGATTGGTATTTCGCGCCATATCCATCTACCACGCATTTACCTGGGTTCCCAAGTGACCTGTTGGGAGGTGAAAACGGATACGTGTTATGTGTTTTTGGTCCTGACCTTTATTGACCAGCTATGCGGAGAAGGTTTGCAAGCTCACCCAGTTAACAACCAACTTTTTAATGCACAACTCACTTGAAGCTCCCCATCTAGATATCCATTACATGTGAAAGGTATTGTGCTTGATATTCTTCTTGCAGAAAAAAAATAAATGATATATCTTTATTAAACATAATTTAGTGGCATGGTCAGATTGCTAGGTGAAAAATGTAAAGGAAATTGTAGTTAGTAACTTTTTTTTTGATGGAACAAATAAAGGAGGTTATAACTGGGGCTCCTGTGGCAAGGTCATATTAAAATAAGGGTCTTAAACTTCGGTAGTGATAGACTCTCATTCATTACACTCACCGTAAGGCTGCTGTAAGCTCTGTCATGATAAAAGATTCACATTTTTAGTTCTTAATGGTGGTTACTGGTAGCAAAAATATTTTATTATTTGTTCTGCCTCTTCTTGCATTGCTAAACAGAACTTCTTGGGTCCAATACCAAATAAATATACTTTGGTTTTTTTTTGGGGGGTGGGGCACACCTTCCCACCCTCTCCCCCATGTCATAAGAAGAGTTCTGCAATATGTGAGTTGCTTAGGAAACTTTTTATTTTATCTAATTTCTTTTTCATTATGAGAAGCTTGTGCAAATTTTCAATCAGACTGTAAGTAAGTACAGCAATAAAATATCATTGCACAGTCATCACTTACCTGTTGATGGCTCATACGCTTGCTCTTTTCCAACTGAGTCAATAGGCTGCACACGTTGGCCCCCACGGTAATTGAGAGGCAGGGAGTTTTGGAAGGTTCCGGTACTGAGAGAACGGCTCATTTTGAGTCGGATGTTGGGGATTAGTAGACGTAAAACGGGACCAACTTGTGGGAGTTTCATTCAACGGTCTGTAGAATTAACGATATTGAATTAGAAATCAAGCCCTTTCACCTGACAATCTAAAATTATAAAATTTGAGTGGGTCAGCCTGATGCCAATTTTGGCACTTGTACCAACAGATTTACCAACTCAAATACCCCCGAAGCCCAGTAAATAATACTTCATGTATTGAAAACTAAGCAGATAGCACTAGCAGTTTTATTAAACTACTATATAAATATATTGTGACCTGGAACCATACAATCGCACAGTCTTTTTTTTATAAATTCTTTATTTATTGTATTTTTTCAGCATAATATACGTAGTAGGTGGGGTACAGAAAAGAAAAGGGATGGGAGGGGTAACATAGTATTTGAACATTTTCACAGTGTTACATTGACATATCTGGTTTGCCTTTTTGAGAAAGATGCCTTTGCTTAGTCTCTTTCTGGATCGACCCATGCTATTGGTGCTCGAGTCTGTGTTCTTTGTTGTGGGCATCTGTGGGGTCTGGTTCCCAATCACACAGTCTTAATGATAGGAACACCACACAAATGAAATTTCTTGTAAATGCAGTCTCTTTATTAAGAGGTCTGGCAATTTAAACAAAACAAAAAGAAAAGCCTGGCTCTTCTGAGCAGTAACTCACAGTTTTTCCTCTAACTGCTGTTGGGTGGCTTACACGCTTCCAACCATCCAAAATACAAATTTGAGCACAGACCTTGTTTCCAAATAAATGTTTCCTTTCTCCTTCAGAACACAAAGACTATTGCAGGGAGTAATGCAGTCTCACACACTGCTTGTCCTTCTCCCTGTGAATCCCTGACAGTGAAATTTTATAACAGTCCTGTGCTAATCATTGCCAACAGGTGAGCAACTATCAGGGTGATCCTGAACTCCTGTATCGGATTGTTCATCTGCTGTGCTGTATGTAAACTGTGGAATGGAGCACTGGCCCTCCCTTCACTCCAAATGATCCACCCTAGGAACCCATATTAAATTGCAAAATTGCTCTCACTAAAAAAGACAGACCTTCTTCCTGGGGCTATTAATTAACATATTCCAATACTTTTGGAGACATATACACTCCATCCATAACAATGCCTTGCACTCTGTCACTATATATATATATATATATATATATATATATATATATTTGTGGTCGGAACTTAATTTGTATATGGAATAGAAGAAAGGTAGAAAGTTGGTAGGGTTGTGCCGAAACCAACGTACGGGTAGGCCTATATAAAGAGGGCCCACCGGGGATAATGTGATAAAAAGATAGTAGAGGGAGTGGTGGGTGGGGTCACTTGAACAGGAAACGGTATAGGAAAGTAAGGGGGTTGAGTTTATAAAGGAAAACTCCTCCCACAAATTCAGGCCTCTGGCCTTTTACTTGAAGTCAGAACTTAATTAATATATGGAATAGGAGGAAAGGGAGAAAGTTGGTAGTGTTGTGCTAAAACAAACGTACGTGTAGGCCTGTATAAAGAGGGCCAAAAAGGTATTGGTGAAAAACACTCTTCTAGCATACTTACAGAGATAACCTTAAGCGATTCCCTGAGCTCTATTAATGAAGCGGAATCTAAGAACTGAAAACAGGGATAGCCGTCTATTCGATGTAATGATGTGGATTGGGCCATGAAGAGACTGCAACAGAGTTAGGTGGAAGCTGTTGTGTATGAGTAAGCGTGTGTCTAGTGTGGTGACATTCTGTCATCAAACTAATGTGGTGATCAGGGGTCATGTGACCAAGCTAAGGTATGCCTTTATTACAGGGGTATAAGCTTCACCCTTTGGTATGGTAATTAGTTAATTCAATACCTTTACAAGTCAGGAAAGAGATAACCACTTCCCTCTATTGTCATTCCTCCCTGTTCCTTCTTGGCTGTGCTACTGAGCAGATACGTGAGCAGACATGGGCTAATTTTTATCATGGTGAACTGTGAGTGGGATCTGATGACTTTATAAGGTTTAGTTGTTATTGTCAGTTAGTTAGATTGTGATTGTGTGTCATTATTTGTATGTTGTTGTTGTTTTGTCTCTGAATAAATATTTGTTAAAGTAGATGGACCAGAATTTATATGTGTATGCGTACATAATTTATAGAGTTTGGTAATATACCACATTTTGGCGACCACAAAGGGACTTCTACAACAAATGTTTGCGAGGCGCAATAACTACCATACTGATACATAATCTAAGAGCTAGTGAGTTTATAGCCTAGGATTCATTTTGTGGAAACAAATATACATATGTTTGTTGACTGTTTTGAATTTGTGCATTGTGACTGACAGAACATATTTTGTTGCAAATTGTAGCATTTATAGGTTTAACTTTGTTTCTGTACAGTTTTGGTGATAAAAGGGGAAGATTGAATAGTTGCACTGCATTGGTACCTTTGATGTTTGGCCATTTTTAATTGCCCATGTGCTGTATTGTCTCTCTCTTGTTGCAACCAACTAGAACTAAACCGAATCTATTGTAAATGTTTCTTACATGTTACATTTTGTGGCTTCACTGCATTCTAAGTTTAAATAGCAAACAGGTTGTTTTTTTTGTTATCTTTTGTCTGTTTGAACCATGAAATTCTGGGTAGGAGCATAGTGTTTACATGATAAAGGTGCAGCAAAAACGGAACAGAAAAGCCTGCATGAATGGAGTGAAATTCAGCGTATGCTGAAACGAACAGTGAACCCTGTACCAAGCCTTATGGTTTACACAAACATACAAACGGTGAAATTAAGAGAATGCCCAACCGAACGGTTTTAAACTAAAAAGTTTAAGTGTCAGCATCTAGGTAGGTTGAGATTTAAACGAATGAACGCATGATTTAAACAACGTACGAACGTGACAAAGTAAACAAATGTACGGCTTGAACCAGACGATTAAACAGGATAAGTGAACGAATAGGCTGTATGGGAACACGCGGAAACCAGCAAACAAGAGTATTAAGCAAAGGAATGTTTAAACGAAAGCAAACGAACAGTACACGTGTTTGCAAACGCAATGGGAGCCAGTCATCGAGTTTGGTAGGCCCGAATGTGGAAACACTGCGAACGGGTTCCCACGAGTACATATATAAGCGTGACAGGTCTTGTGGCCGGAAGCCGGCGTCTTGCGATACAGGAGCCGGGTCGGAGACGCTGAGGGCCGGGTCCATGGGCTGCGGGGTCCGAGCAGTGAAAATTGTCGGGAAGAACCAGAACGGAAGTACTTGTTGTCATGGCAACCTGGTCACTTGAACAGGAAACTGCATAGGTAAGTAGGGTTGAGTTTATATAGGGAAAAGACACAAATTCAGGACTATGGCTTTTTACACACTAAATGTTTTTGTAAAAAAAAAAAAAAAAATGATGCGTAGTGGGATGCTGGACATTTGTTTACCTCAGTAAGAACAAAATGACTATGTCAATGTGGCTTTCATATGTGTGAGTGGACTAGCCGCCTTACCAGCATGCCAACTAGGACAACACATTGAGCACTGGAAAAGCACTCTTACAGGGCTGTGGGAAAACCAGCACTACTTCAGAAGTATGGAAGGCAAAAAACTGCCGGGCAGTATCCGGCTTCGACGCCAGGCTTCAGCAGCGACTATGAGATGTGCTGCGCAGTATGGAGTACCCTATCCCAGAGGAAAGAGAGACAGAGTGGAGGGTGGCGCTTCAAACCGATCTCTGAAAGGAGGATCTCAACGAAATTCGACTCTTCCGTAGCAAGAAACTCCCGACCACCAACCAGTGCCAAGCGGAACAGCTGGAGCTGCGGATGCCATTCCTAGGAGACCAGACCTCAGAGTAATGGGTAAGGGATGTGGCTAGATTATTCATACCAGGCCCTGCGGTGACATGCCTACCACCTCTACCCGTGGCTGGTCCAGTATAAATGTATTGAGGTGGAAGACTACGATGGCCCTGATTTGTTGTGGGAGGCTTTTGAAACTAGTCTGGGGTTAGGAGAATCTGACAGTGCCCACTTCTGGTCCATCCGAGCTGAGCGGGCAGACAACTGGGACCTTACTGAGATCGCTGCCATACAGCCAGACCTGTCTCTGGCCAACTGGAAGTGGGAACTAGAACAGGATTATGTTTGCCTATTCCAACGGGTAATGTCGCCTGTCTGCGAAATGATGGGGTTTATGACCTGTGCAACACCGGGAGAGTGGAGTTTCGTCCCTCCTTCCCAGCAGCTGTGCCCATCATCAGGAGCAAAGGCACCTAGCCCGGATGGTGCAGATGGAGCCGTGGTCTGTGTGGAAAGCTGGGTGGCTGACCCAGACCTGCCACACTACAGGTGTACTGTACTCCCTGTTTTACTACGTTCCAGAAAACAGGTGACCTCATAGACTGGTCCTGGGAAGACCCCCAGCTGGCAGGTGGAGATGGGACTGAGGTCTCTCCACCGGCCCTACAGGGATGCTGGGCAGCCTGCCCAGATCTCCAATCACAGACGGAGATGTCAGGAGTCGGTCCCCCTCCCCAGCGGCCGAGTGAGTTACAGGGAGAAAAGTGTGTCGTCCTTCCTCCTCAGTGGCAGAGTGCGTTATTGGGAGAACAAACAGTCAGTCTCTCTCCCCAGCGGCAGTGTAACAGGTAGGGAGAGGAGACAAACTGTCTCTCTCCCCAGCGGCAGCCAGAGACAGTCTGTCCCCCTCCACAACCACAGGGAAAGATACAGGGAGTGTAGCCAGAGATGGATGGTGTGGATGGTGCAGATGGGACCAAGGTCTCTGCACCAGCCCTAAAGGGATGCTGGGCAACCTGCCCAGATCCCCAACTGCGGAATACCAACCATGTTCCAGGTGTGATGGAGGTAACTACAGCCTCTACTGACATCCTTCCAGCAAAAGAGCTGGCATCAGGGCAGAGCACAGCTAGCCTCTGCCCTACCGGCCCATTAATTCCGGGGCCTGACGACAAACAGGCCACCCCAGCTGAAGCGCTGGCGATAGGGCAGAGCACCTCTGACCTCTGCCCATCAAGCACGGATGACTTCATAGGTAAGGCCCAGGGAGAGGAGAGTGTCTCTCCCCAGCGGCTTTATGGGTTACACAGAGAAGGGACAACCGGTCCCTCTCTCCAGTGGCAGGAGTTACCCCCTAGAGCAGGGAATTGCGCCCTCCATTCCCAGCGACAACTTGGTTCAACCGGAGAAAAGTGCAGCCGAGTTGTTTCCCCGCAGAACACTAGATGTACAAATGTGGACTTGTGGCAGGTGGTCTTCTGGACAACTATGCCTTTTGGGAAAAGCCACTAGACTATCACAGACCCAGACCGATTGGAGGTCTGGGGTCTGGATAATCTCCCCGGGAGGGGGAAGATATATGACAAACTCCCCTGTCCTCGTGAGTTTGCCACGAGCTCCTGGAGGAGCCTGCTTGCCAGTCTCCTGCCCACCAACTATGGCCAGGTCAGCGACTGTAAAGACCCATATTTTATTCCCCCTGGTTCGGCGTTTTCCATTAGTGCGCATAGAACCGAACGCTAGCTCCCTGGCAGCCGTTCGCATGAAATAAAACCGCGAATAGACTTCAGGGGGACTTAACCCCGAAAGCCCTGGAACTATTTTTGGCTAGTTTTTCAAATGTACTAGTGACAGAGGCATTGAACACATTTTCTCCTTCGAAATCCAACTTTTTTTTTTTTTTTTTTTTTTTTAAGTATCATGTGGTATTAGTGAGTGTGCATCTGTACTTTATTTTAAGGGGGAGCAATCACTTCATGTTTATTAAAATTATTTTATTGGGAGCAAAAATAGTTTACAAAGCATCGTAAATGAGGAAGCATATGGAGTAATAGTAGAAAATAGGTACATATTCATATATAAAAACATTCTAATAGTTACATATCCTAAGCCTAATAATTATTTTAACTTTCCTCAATTTTTAATAGTATTTCACAGATGGGGTTATTCTCTTACCCCACGTGTTGTGTAGAATACTCGGTAACAATTTTTCAGTTGGGCTATTATGGCCTAAAATTTGCATTGCTCTTGTTGATTCCCACACAAATCCTGCCTTAATAAAAATGTAAATAAACAAAAACAAAAACCACGGCCATATGAAACCTGCATAATTTAGTGTGTCCTAAAATTCATGAACATATGTAGCATTTATTCAAGGTTTTATTAATTTTACAGGCTAGTAAAATTTAAGCTGAAGGGCTGCTGAGCCTGACTGCCGGGCAAAGTAGACTTATGTTAATGAAGCCCCCTCCATTCAACTACATTTTTTATGATAAATCAGATTTCACACAAGTACACCTGATTTTCCATAATGAAGCACCTACATGAGAGGTGACAGCTGAGGAAATCACATGTGCTGTCTTACCCACCTGGACTGCTCTGAGACATTAGTGGCCTAACTGCTGGGCTGGCATGGGAGAAGAGGTTGCTCATGGGAGCAGAGCCAGCACAAGCTAAACACAGCCCTGGCCTATCAACATCTCACAGACATGCATCGAATCATTGCATCTCTATGAGAAATGTTTAGTGTCTCCATGCAGAGTGTGGATACACTTAATGGCAGTGCTGCTTACTGTGCAGCACTGCCACAGGAAGCACCTCTAGTAGCCATGAGAGGTATGTAAATACTGCATTTTCTTAGAAAAGCTAGTGTTTACTGCAAAAAGCCTGAAGGGAATGAATATACTCACCAGAACAAATTCAATAAGCTGTAGTTGTTCTGGTGACTATAGTGTCCCTTTAATATACTGTTTTAAAAAGTGCAGGTATATTTCTATGTGTGTAGTGCAATCTTATACCACAGTATGTATCAAGTTACCATATAATACTTAAAAGGATGTGTGTTTTGCAACCTCATACAATGTTTCCCTTATTATCTGCCACTGCGCAACTTTAATAATAAGCAAATAAATGTAAAAATGAACTGTGTTCAAAACCAGCTTTCACTTTCTTCCTGAAGATATCTGTAATTTCTGTTGTGCTATTTGCCAAGAAGTACTCAAACTAACTCTCAAGAGCAGGATCATTTTACAATTTTGCATAATTATCCAGTGAAGTGGAGAAGATTAGTGCAAAACTATTGCCTATACCAGTGATGGCGAACCTTTTTGAGCCCGAGTGCCCAAACCGCAATACATGCCAACTTTTTTCTCCTCAAAGTGCCAACACAGCAATTAAACCCGAATACTGAGGTTTATGTTTAGAAAAAAACAACTCGTACAGTTGTCCAAACTAATTATCCTCTTCCTCTCCCCGCAGCATCTCCTCTTCCTCTCCCCGCAGCATTTTCCCCTCACTACCCCAGCATATCCCCTCTCCCCCATTATATCCCCTCTCCCTACCAGCACACAAATAATGTATTTTTTTTGGTGCGGGTGGGAGTTTGAAGTACTCCCAGGCTCCCTACCTCCTTCCCGCTGCTGTAAGGGGGTGTGGGCGCGAGGAAGCACTGACTTACGTGCTGTTCCAGCACTGCTCCCTATGCTGATGCTGCCGGCAAAACAGGAAATTATGTCAATCAGTTGGCGGCGCCTGATTGACGCCATTTCATGTCTCCCGGCGGCATCAATGGAGGGAGCAGTGCTGTAACCGCACGTAAGTCAGTGCTCCCTCGCAGCCCTCCATCCCACCAGTGCCACCTTAACAACATTATGGGCCCCTGGGCAAAGCAGTGCACTGGGGCCCTGCCTACACACAACGCACAGGAATACAAATTAAAATTATAGATAAAATTAGGCTTATATTTATTAGTATCGCCAACAAATGCAATACATACATAAAATACATACACACAGACTGCTGAATACATAGACACCGACACACACATAGTCCGCTGAATACTTGCACACAGTCCGCTGCATACATGCACTCACAAACATACACACAGACTGCTCAATACATAAAGACTGCTGAATACACATACAAACAGACTGCTGAATACACACTCACACACGTACAGAATGCTGAGTACAGACAGACTGCAGAGTACACACAAACTACTGAATACATACACACAAACACACACATGCTGCATTGAGGGTGGCAGTGTATGCGTTTGTGTGTACGGGTGCGGAGTGCTGTGTATGAGGGGTGCTGTGTGTGTGCGAGAGGGGGTGCTATGTGTGTGTGGGAGTGCTGTGAGAGGGGTGCTGTGTGGGGAAGGGTGCGGGTGCTGTGTGTGAGGGGGTGCTGTGTGTGAGGGGGGGAGGTGCTGGGTGCTGTGTGTGAAAGGGGTGCTGTGTGTGAAAGGGGTGCTGTGTGTGAAAGGGGTGCTGTGTGCTCTATGTGAGAGGGGTGCTGTGTGTGTGTGTGGAGTGCTGTGTGTGTGTGGGGGGAGGTGCTGGGTGCTATGTATGAGAAGGGTGCGGTGTGTGAAAGGGCTGCTGTGTGTGTTGGTGGGGGGAGGGCTGCAAATATATTACAATCTGAATCCCCCCCTCCCTTCTGCTTACCTTATGGGAAAGGGGGTGGGGGGAACACATAAATCCCTTGTGGTCCGGTGGTGGTAAGAGGGACAGGTCCTGCAGCTCTGCCGTCCTCCCGCCCGCACGATGCTGTGTAGAGCGTTGCCATGGTAACGTGCGGCAACGCTCCACACTGATTGCTCTCGGGAGGACGGGAGAGCTGCTTCTCAGATCGCTCCCCCTGTCCTCCCAACACGAAAGCAAAGTAGGCGCTTGCCCTTTTGGCCAGGCAGGTGCCTACTCTGCATTGATGGCGAGCTATGGCCGCATGCCCACAGAGAGGGCCCGGCGTGCCACCTGTGGCACGCGTGCCATAGGTTCGCCATCACTGGCCTATACACTTGGCAAGGAACACGCTGGTCAACTCCTCCAGGAGATCCAGAGGCTCTCTGCATGGAGCCAAGCCCAATAGTCCAGCTCATTGTCCAGCTCATTGGCTGAGAGTGATCAGCTGACACTCTTACCCAACAAGCTGGCCCTGCACAGCACAGTTTAGCCACCAGAGCTATCAGAAGCTCCTGGCTCTCAGTGCAAGACGTGACTGGCACCCAATGGATCCCAGCTAGGTTGTCAACCATTAGAAAAATATTTGATTAGTTACATTGGAGGGCACTAGAGCAATTCTGTCTCACTGTAGTAGTTATGGTGCTTTGAGTTATCTTGAGTTGCAGCTGTAAAGCCATGGTATGTGAAGGGGGATTGTTAGATAAACTCCCCTCTAAAATCTAAATCCCTCTGTACATTCTGTACATTCTACTGTCTCTGAGGAATTAAAACAGCAGTGATTTGTATCATTGGAGCCCAGTTACGTACTATATGGACCCACGAATCCCAGCTAGAGAAATGTAGAGAGAAACATCACACAGACACAAAGCAAACGGTATGCATGGGGAGGTCAGACTGGAAATCACAACCAACTTAGACACTCTAGATGTTTGCTAACTACATTTCCCAAGATGCTCAGCCCATCATGTAACATCTCCTGCAAGTTTAGACACCTATAGATAATGTAATGAAATCTGTAATATCCTAAACAAGGGGCACACACACACACACATCTGTTGTTGCAAAACTACAACTCACATTATGCTAAGTCAGGCTTGAAGCTGTCAAATTATCATGAGATTTATCTTTTCTATAATATAAGCTCCATCGGAAAGTATCAACCATTTCCACTTGCATTGCATTTGATCATCTCCTTGGGAACATATTTTCCTATTCCCGCATTCGCCCCTTTCTTACGCAAGATGCTACCAAGGAGCTTGTCCATGCTCTAGTAATTTCCTGCATGGATTACTGTAACCCTCTCCTGATTGGTCTCCCCAAAAGCCGTATTGCTCCGCTACAGTCTGTAATGAATGCTGCAGCTAGACTGATTTTCCTCTCTAGTCGGTCCTTTCACACTTCACCCCTCTGCCAGTCCTTACATTGGCTCCCTGTTGTCAGGAAACTGACAGGGATCCAATACGCAGAGTGCGCACAGAAGGAGGTACGTATACCGGACCTTAGAATGGCCGGACTAACGTAAGGACAAAGCAAGAATAGTCAAAAGGTAAGCCGAGGTCAAGGGAGCCGGAGGACAGGTAAGCGAGATACAATCCGAGTCAAAGGAGAGGAGAGGACAATAGGACAAAAGGCAAGCAAGGGTCAAAACCGGAAACACTAGATAAAGAACGCGCTGAGTGACTAGCAAGCTAGAACCACGACAGGGCAATGAGCAGTAGTAAAGGTTTCCTTTAAATACCCTGTTACCTAAATAGAGACCACGCCCCCAAAAGGTCCGGAATAGCGGTTCCCGGCACTTTATGCAAATGCCGACGTCATGACGTCGACGCTAGCCGTCGCGTCATAAAAGGGGGAGGAGCTAGCGCGGCCGGCGCGAAAACGGCCGGAATATGCCGAAATGCTAGGGGAAGGGAGCCCCTAAGCAGAGAGGATGTCCTCCCTGGATACATCACCAACAGGTACCCTGACAGTACCCCCCCTTCTAGAAACGCCCACCGGGCGGATGGGACCTGGCTTAGAAGGAAAACGAACGTGGAAGGCCCGTAGAAGACGAGGAGCATGCACGTCTATACCAGGAACCCAAGACCTCTCTTCTGGACCATAACCTTTCCAGTCTATGAGGTATTGCAGCTTCCCCCTAGAAATACGAGAATCAAGGATGGACTTGATGATATATTCCTCCTGACCATCCACACGGACCGAGGATGGAGGAGTAGAGCGGGAGGAAAATCTGTTACAAACAAGAGGTTTCAATAAAGACACATGAAAAGAGTTAGGGATGCGTAAGAGTAGGAGGTAGATCCAGCAAATAAGAAACCGGGTTGATCCTCCTCAGTACCCTGTAAGGACCAATGTAACGAGGAGCAAACTTCAAGGAAGGAACTTTCAGGCGAATGTGTCTGGTACACAACCAGACCCTATCCCCCGGAGAAAAAATAGGAGCAGGACGTCTACGCCTATCAGCATGTGACTTAAACACCGCGGAACTACGTTCAAGAATTTGTCGAGTCTGATCCCACAACTTTCTCAGGTTGGCTATATGAATATCAACCGACGGTATACCCTGGGAAGGAGACACCGACGGAAGAACAGTAGGGTTAAAGCCATAGTTCAAGAAAAAGGGGCTATTATGAGTGGAACCACAAACAAGGTTGTTGTGAGCAAACTCCGCCCAAGGAATCAGACCGACCCAGTCATCCTGGTGTTCAGAAACAAAACAACGTAGATATTGCTCAATTTTTTGGTTAGTGCGTTCGGCTGCTCCGTTAGATTGAGGATGATAGGCCGAAGAAAAATTCAGTTTGATGCCCAACTGTGAACAGAAGGATCTCCAAAAACGGGAAATAAATTGGGAACCCCTGTCTGACACAATCTCATTGGGAATACCATGTAAACGGAAAATTTCTCTAGCAAATATCACGGCCAGTTCGGGGGAGGACGGAAGTTTAGGCAAGGGAACGAAATGAGCCATTTTAGTAAACCTGTCAAGGACCGTGAGTATAACTGTATGCCTATTGGAAGCTGGTAGATCAACAATAAAATCCATAGCCAAGCAAGCCCAAGGTTTGTTGGGAACGACTAAGGGCTGCAATAAACCACAAGGGAGATCCCGCGGAAGTTTATTCCTGACACAAACATTGCAAGCCTTGACAAAGTCTTCCACATCCCTACGTAAACCGGGCCACCAGAAGTCTTTTGAGATCAGGCAGTAAGTTTTGTGGATGCCGGGGTGACCAGCGATCTTGCTATCGTGGAAACAGCGAATAATGTCCACTTGGAATTTGGGAGACACGAACAAGCGGCCCACAGGAGTACGTTCGGGAGCAAGAGATTGTTCGTTCTGAATATCAGCGAGCAATGGAGAGTGTATTTTGACATTGGTGTTGGCGATAATATTGACTTCAGGAATAATAGGGAACAAAGTATCCTCTGTAGAGGTGGTAGGTTCGTGCTGACGTGACAAAGCGTCTGCTTTAGTGTTCTTAGAACCAGGCCTGTAAGTAAGCACATAATTAAAGTGTGTAAGGAACATAGACCAACGTGCCTGCCTGGCAGATAATCTTTTGGCCTCCCCCATATACGATAAATTTTTGTGGTCAGTCAAGATAGTAACTGGGAGGACGGTGCCCTCTAACAAATGTCTCCATTCCTTTAATGCCATAATGATAGCTAAAAGTTCTCTATCACCAATGTCATATCTCCTTTCAGTGTGTGACAGTTTCTTGGAAAAAAAACCGCAAGGGTGCAGCGGCTTATCTAAACTTTGTCTTTGGGATAACACTGCGCCTATCCCTGTTTCAGACGCATCAACTTCAAGTAAAAAGGGTAGAGAGGTATCAGGATGAACTAATACAGGTGCTGAGGCAAAAGACTGTTTGAGCGTTTCGAAAGCAGATAAAGCCTCAGTAGACCAGGTTTTGGTATCGGCTCCTTGTTTGGTCATATTAGTGATAGGAGCGATAACAGAGGAGTACCCTTTAATAAAGCGTCTGTAATAATTAGAAAATCCAAGAAATCTTTGTATGGCTTTGAGTCCCTTAGGTAAAGGCCAATCTAAAATCGATTTTAGTTTGGTCGGGTCCATCATAAACCCGTCTTTGGAAATTACGTAACCTAAGAAAGTTACCTGAGACTGGTCAAAGCTACATTTTTCCAATTTACAATACAATCCATGTTGTAAAAGTTTCTGTAATACCTTTCTGACTTGTCTATGATGTGAATTAATGTCTCTAGAATGGATTAGTATATCATCCAAATATACAATTACACATTCATGTTGGAATTCTCTAAGAACTTCATTGATCAAGTCTTGGAAGACGGCCGGGGCGTTACAAAGCCCAAACGGCATTACGGTATACTCATAATGCCCGTAACGGGTATTAAATGCTGTCATCCATTCATCTCCTTGTTTAATTCGCACTAAGTTATATGCTCCCCTTAAGTCAAGTTTAGTAAAAATACTCGACCCCTTTAGTCTGTCAAAGAGTTCAGTAATCAAAGGAATAGGGTAAGCATTTCTGATAGTAATTTTGTTCAATCCCCGATAGTCTATACAAGGGCGTAAGGTACCGTCTTTCTTTTCTACAAAAAAGAAACCCGCCCCCGCCGGAGAAGAAGACTTTCTAATAAATCCCTTGTCTAAATTCTCCTTGATATATTCCTCTAAAACTAAGTTTTCCTTGGTGGATAGAGGGTATACCGTACCCCTGGGAGGCATAGTACCAGGGAAAAGTTTAATAGAACAGTCATAAGACCGGTGGGGAGGTAAAGTATCCGCCTTACCCTTGTCAAATACAGATTTGAGGTCTAGATATTGTAATGGTATCTGAACGTCTGTGGATTGAGAAGTGTTAGCATAAGAGTTTACGGGGCAAACAGAAGTAACTCTCTGCAGACATTCTTTCCTACAACCCATACCCCAAGAAACGATTTCTCCACCCTCCCAGTCAATCTGAGGGTTGTGTCTCTTGAGCCAAGAATATCCTAGAACCACTGGGACTGCCGGGGAGGAAATTAACAGAAGGGAAATCAACTCTTCGTGGAAAATACCAACAGTAAGCTTAACGGGTTCGGTCTCATGGAATATTACTGGTTCAGATAAAGGTCTACCATCTATGGCCTCAACGGCCAAGGGTGTATCTCTCAATTGGAATGGGATACAATGCATATTAGCGAAAGTTTGGTCTATAAAGCTTTCTGCTGCTCCAGAATCTAATAATGCCATCGTAGTAATAAACCCCTTTTCCCAAGCTAGAGAGACAGGAATCAGAAGCCTATGGTCTTTTTTATTATGCATAGAGGACAGTAATGAAACACCCAAGGCCCGTCCTCTAAGGGAACTTAGGTGCGAGCGTTTCCCGGACGATTAGGGCAACTAAGACGTAGGTGACCTCTCAGCCCGCAGTATAAACAGAGACCCTCCCTTCTTCTGTACTGTCTCTCAGCCTCAGATAAGCGAGTATTACCTATTTGCATAGGTTCTGGTAGAGTAGGATTATAGGAGTCAGGGTTCTGAAATGAGGGAGCGAGTCTTACAGGAAGTCTAGTAACTCTTTCCCGAGTGTTCTGCCTCTGTCTCATGCGTTCATCTATTCTGGAAATGAAGGATACTAAATCCTCTAAATTTTCCGGAAGTTCTCTAGTGGCAATTTCATCTAGAATTTCATCAGACAACCCATTCAAGAAAACATCCATAAAAGCTTGTTCGTTCCATTTCACTTCTGCTGCCAATGATCTAAACTCTAGAGCATATTCTACAAGGGTCCTATCTTGTTGTTTAAGGCGTAACAGGGATCTGGCCGCATTAATCTTCCTCCCTGGGGGGTCAAAGGTTCTTCTAAAAGCCGTGACAAACGCAGTGTAGTTGTAGACTAAAGGATTGTCATTCTCCCAAAGGGGATTGGCCCATCTAAGTGCTTTATCTATTAGCAGGGTTATAATAAAGCCTACCTTAGCCCTGTCAGTGGGGTAAGCCCGGGGTTGTAGTTCGAAATGTATACTTATCTGGTTTAAAAAACCACGACAAGCATCAGGCGAACCCCCATATCGTAATGGTGACGTGACATGGGAAGATGCGCCTACAGTGGCTACTTCCAAACCAGTACTTAGCGAGTGGCTAGCAGTGGAACGTATTTCTTCAGACTGGGTACTGGAGCGTGTCAACAAAGTTTGTAACGCTAAAGCCATTTGGTCCATTCTATGGTCCATGGCCTCAAATCTGGGGTCAGGAGGACTAGCACCTGCAGGATCCATCATGGCCCTGTCGTAATGTCAGGAAACTGACAGGGATCCAATACGCAGAGTGCGCACAGAAGGAGGTACGTATACCGGACCTTAGAATGGCCGGACTAACGTAAGGACAAAGCAAGAATAGTCAAAAGGTAAGCCGAGGTCAAGGGAGCCGGAGGACAGGTAAGCGAGATACAAGCCGAGTCAAAGGAGAGGAGAGGACAACAGGACAAAAGGCAAGCAAGGGTCAAAACCGGAAACACTAGATAAAGAACGCGCTGAGTGACTAGCAAGCTAGAACCACGACAGGGCAATGAGCAGTAGTAAAGGTTTCCTTTAAATACCCTGTTACCTAAATAGAGACCACGCCCCCAAAAGGTCCGGAATAGCGGTTCCCGGCACTTTATGCAAATGCCGACGTCATGACGTCGACGCTAGCCGTCGCGTCATAAAAGGGGGAGGAGCTAGCGCGGCCGGCGCGAAAACGGCCGAAATATGCCGAAATGCTAGGGGAAGGGAGCCCCTAAGCAGAGAGGATGTCCTCCCTGGATACATCACCAACAGGTACCCTGACACCTGTATGCTATAGGCGTCAATTCAAAGTGCTAACCCATACATTTAAAGCACTGAAAAATTCTAGCCCCACTTATATCTCTTCACTAATCCATAGATATGCCCCTCCTCGTACCCTCCGCTCTGCCCGTGACCACCTCCTGACCGCTGCTCGCACCCGTACGGCCAACTCGCGCTTGCAGGACCTCTCGCGGGCGGCTCCTCTCCTATGGAATAGCTTGCCTACTGCCATCAGACTCTCCCCTAGTCTTCAATCATTTAAGAAGGGCCTTAAAACCCATCTCTTCAGGAAAGCTTATGGCCTCCCAGAGTAATCTCTACCTTACATACCTGTCTCCTGCTCTCTCCTATGGGACAGTGCATTGCTCTCTCCTCCAGCTCTGCTTCACTCCTACTTGATATTCCATGTCCTAATGTTTCGAATACCCTACCTCCTATAGTCTGTAAGCTCGTTTGTGCAGGGTCCTCTTCAACCTATTGTTCCTGTAAGTTTTCTTGTAATTGTCCTATTTATTGTTACATCCCCCCTCTCAAAATATTGTAAAGCGCTACGGAAGCTGTTGGCGCTATATAAATGGCAATAATAATAATAATAATCCCTCATATAATAAACAGAATTCCACCTTACAGTGTTTTTTCCTGTTTACTTCCTATGTACCTTATACAATGAAGTTTTATAAAGTACATAGTTGTTGCTAAAGTAGAGCTGCAATAGCTAATCGTTAAAAATCAATATTTGATTATGAAAACCATTGTCAACAAATCTAATTACTGATTAGTTGTTGCTGCTCTAGTGTAAACCCTCCCAATGCCCCCAGATTATGGCTGGCTCCCTAGTACATAATGATCTCTGGCACTGAAAAAGAGGAATACAGTAATTTTAGGGATGTGAGAGGGGTCCAGGGGCAGGGATGTTCTGAGAATTTTTAGATTCCTAACTAATAAAAATGTATACAATTAAAATGTAATTTAGAACAAGAACAATGTATCTGATTTACACTGAATGATTTCTAAACACATTTATTGTAGTTTAAAGACACATTACTGGGAGTATTATTGCTGTAAAGCTCTGTTATACACTCAGACACAACAATATGGAGCTCATAGAAAAGAGGGAAATTGGATTCAATTGGACCAAAAATAGGAACTGTCCCTCTTAGTTAGGAGAAAAAAAAATAAAATTAGAGAGAGAGAGAGAGAGAGAGAGAGAGAGATTGTAGCCGTATTAGTCCAGTGATGTAGATGTAAAAAACAGATAAAATTCTTCTTGAAATACCTTATTTATTGGACTAACAGAATTTTTTAATGACAAGCTTTCGGGAGAACCTCCCTTTCTCAAGTCTGAAGCATTTCTGAGCAAAATGACACATAGAATTCAAAGTTGAGTTGTGATACAGGGGTTAAAGCGACATGAGTGTAGATAAGACACAGGTTTGTTAGAAAAAAGATACCATCTTAGCAGAGGGTCATAAATATCTTGTTGAAGAGCAGAGTGAGGGGGGAGAGAGGGAAAAGAAAAACAAACAAGCAGACATTGCACAGGATGGTACACTTTATACATGCACACACATAAATATGTATATGTGAACGCATAAACACATGTACATATACATATACACATATACATACATGCACACATGAACTCATATACACAAATATAAATGCACAGTAAATATATAAGCATTCATGCATATGAGTATGGGAAAGCATAGGTTTACACGTAGTACTTTGTATATAGATAGAATAAACCATTTAATCATTCTGGCTTCAAAGGCTTTTCTTTCCTGGGTATTTTTAAAACCCCCTTTCAGTACTTTGATTTTTAGGTCCTTCAGTGAGTGGCCAGGCTGGGTAAAGTGGTGTCCCACAGGAGTGCAGTATGATTCTTCTTTGTGGTGTTTAATAGAGTGTCTGTGCATATTCATTCTGCCATTTAATGGCTAGGTGGTTTCCCCAATGTAGCATCCTAGGTGGCATTTTATGCATTGAATCATGTATACCACATTGCTGGATGTGCAGGAGTATGAACCTTTAATGCTGTAGGTTTTATTGTTGTGTGTGGCTGTGTTGTCTGTGCATATGTGCTGACACAGTTTGCAGCGAGGTTTTTTGCATTTACTGGTCCCGTTTTCTTCATTCTTAACATCAGTGGGCAGCCTCCTGTTGATTAATTTTTGTTGGAGGTTTGGTGGTTGTCTGAAGGCCAAAATGGGTGTTTCAGGGAAAATGTTTTTCAGAGTCTCATCTTCTGTTAATATTGGTTGTAGGTCTTTGATGATTTTCCGTATTTCCTCAAGAGCTGGGTTGTAGGTGACCACAAGTGGCACTCGTGTGGATATTTTTTTCTCTCTGTACTGTAGCAGGCGCGTGCGTGGCATTTTTACAGCAGAGTTGATTTGTTTGGTAATAGTCTTTGGTTTGTAGCCTTTCTGTCTCATAGATTGGGAGAGTACATTTAGATGGGAATTACGGTCATTAGGATCAGAGCATATGCGATGGTACCTAGTGGCTTGGCTGTAGATGATGCCCTGTTTAGTATGAGAGGGGTGGAAGCTGGAGCTGTGTAGGTAACTGCACCTGTCTGTGGGTTTTCTGTAAACCGAGGTGTGGATTGTGCCATTATTACATGTCACAGTGGTGTCCAGAAAATTCACAGACCTAGTGGAATATTCCATTTTTAGTGTGATTGATGGATGGAATGGGTTGAAAGAGTCATGGAACTGTTTCAGTTTTTCTTCGCTTTCAGTCCAAATTATGAAGATATCATCGATATAGCGATAATATTTGTATGGTTTGGTGTGTTGTATTTCTAGGAATCTCTGTTCAAGATCTGCCATAAACAGATTAGCATATTGGGGTGCCATCTTAGTGCCCATAGTAGTGCCCATGGTTTGTAGGTAAACCTCCTTGTTGAAACTGAAGTAGTTATGTGTGAGGATAAATAGTGCCAGTTCTGTGATAATTCGGGCGCTGTATTTTTGGTTGTTGACATGAGAGAGAAAATGGAAGCAAGCATTGATGCCATCTGTATGTGGAATGTTGCTGTATAGAGATTCCACATCCATGGTTACGAGGATGGTGTTAGCAAGGAGATTGGTGATTTGGCTGAGTTTGTTGAGGAAGTCAGTTGTGTCTTTTATGAAGCTGTTAGTGTTGGTGACTAGAGGTTTTAGGGTATTTTCTACCAGTCCTGAGATCTGTTCTGTGAGAGTTCCCATTCCTGTGATTATGGGTCTTCTAGGATTACCTGCTTTGTGAATTTTGGGAAGCATATAGAAGGTGCCCATGCAGGGACTAGTTGGTATGAGTGATTGCAGTTCTAGGTGTAAGTTCTCAGGGAAGGACTTAATGAGCTCCCTAAGTTGTGATGTATATTGCTTGGTGGGGTCTTCATTTAGTTTTCTATAGTATTTGTCATCTGACAATTGCCTGTCACCCTCTTTTATGTAGTCCTGGGTGTTCATTATCACTACTGCTCCTCCCTTGTCTGCTGGTTTGATGGTGATAGCATGATTATTTTTCAGGTCATTTATAGCCATTTGTTCCTGTACTGAGAGATTATGAAACATTTTCTTTTGGTTTTGCTTGGTTGTCAAGGATACTGTTCTTAGACGGAAACTTTCAATGTAACTGTCCAGTTTGGCATTTCGTCCTGGTGCTGGAGTGAAATTTGTGTTTTTTTTCCGGTTGTTGTAATCCATTGTGGTTTCAGTGCTCTCTTTGTCATGGAAGTATTCCTTAAGTCGCATCCTTCTGAAAAATTCTTCCACGTCAGAGTAGAGCCCAATGTCATCAAGTTTTGTGCTAGGGCAAAATGATAATCCTTTGGAGAGAACTGATGCTTCTGGGTCAGATAGTTTGTAATCCGAAATGTTAACAATACCAGATTTCTCTTGCCATTTCTCTTTCTCTGCCAAATGTTTGTGATAATCCTATTATTCTATCTATATACAAAGTACTACGTGTAAACCTATGCTTTCCCATACTCATATGCATGAATGCTTATATATTTACTGTGCATTTATATTTGTGTATATGAGTTCATGTGTGCATGTATGTATATGTGTATATGTATATGTACATGTGTTTATGCGTTCACATATACATATTTATGTGTGTGCATGTATAAAGTGTACCATCCTGTGCAATGTCTGCTTGTTTGTTTTTCTTTTCCCTCTCTCCCCCCTCACTCTGCTCTTCAACAAGATATTTATGACCCTCTGCTAAGATGGTATCTTTTTTCTAACAAACCTGTGTCTTATCTACACTCATGTCGCTTTAACCCCTGTATCACAACTCAACTTTGAATTCTATGTGTCGTTTTGCTCAGAAATGCTTCAGACTTGAGAAAGGGAGGTTCTCCCGAAAGCTTGTCATTAAAAAATTCTGTTAGTCCAATAAATAAGGTATTACAAGAAGAATTGTATCTGTTTTTTACACACACATATATATATATAGTATGTTAGTGTTTTTTATTCCGAATACAGTCAATGTTTTGCTCTAATAAGTGGTTTAATTACTAGAATAGGGGCAATCACAGTGGAAATTAGTTGAAGCAGCAGAAACATTCCATTGGATGTTTATGCAATCTTGCAGTAAACCAGGCAGCAACAAATTCACATACAAAGCGCACAGGCAGTTCAACCAAAACATTAAAGGAATACTATAGTTCCGTTTAGGTGACTAGGGCCCCGTTTCGCGGCGGTTAAATGGTTAATTAACAATTTATTTGCTTACCTTAATCCAGCGCTGGGCTCCCTCGGCACTGAGTGGCACGCAGGCACGCATTCAAACCAGCCCATAGGAAAGCATTCAATGCTTTCCTATGGGGATCTTTTTTGACACTGGACTCCGTGAGGACGTCCAGCATCAAATAAGTGCGATTTACTCTGTGTAAATCGCGGAAGAGGCCTCTAGTGGCTGTCAGGGAAACAGCCACTAGAGGCTGGATTAACCCAGCAGCGTAAACATAGCAGTTTCTCTGAAACTGTTATGTTTTCATCTGCAGGGTTAAAACTAGGGGGACCTGGCACCCAGACCACTTCACTGAGCTGAAGTGGTCTGGGTGCCTATAGTGGTCCTTTAATTCTAACTCTCATTTATGTGCTATGTGAAGTTAACCCTTTCCCTGCGTTCACATTTACTAAACCAACAAGTTAACTCTTATATGCCAGTATGTTACATTGTTAAAACTTGTTCCTGCCTTCCAATCTACAAAATTTACCTTCTTGATTGTTTGCCCTGCATTATTAACTTGTTCTCTGGGGCCAGTTATTCAATGTAATTATTGTAGATTGGTAGGCACACTATCCCTCAACACTTTCGATGGTTTGAAGCAGAGTATCAAGGGAGGGATATGGGTGCACTGGAGTGAGGTGTGACTAGGTTGATGTGCTCTCGACACAAGAGAGTTTACCTTGCATTCCTATCAAGCATTTTATCAATCATACACAAGTGCAAACATTGCTTTTTTATTTGAGGCATCTCATGATGTTCAGTCAGCAGGGTTGGATTGACCTACTGGATAATAAGGAGATGTCCAAGATGGCCAATTGAGTCTGCTACCCGTGAAACCTTTAAAAACTAAATTTGAACAGCCGTATAGTGGAGCCACCAGTGATGGGGAGCCAACTGTGCCACATTGACGGCTGCCAGGATACATCACCCAGCATTATAACCGTCACATTCTGACACTGCGCATAGAGAGAGAAGGGGAGCAGTTGCAAACTGGGTAAATTCTCAAACTGTAACGGAGTCTTACCTGATAGGAAGTCCAGCTCCCTGGTGCTGCAGGCAATACAAGAATAAACAGGAGTTATCCAAAGTCCTGAAATGGCTCAGAGGGAAAATAGCAGGATACGGTCCAGAAGAACCACAGTTCAAATCCCCTATCAGGTGCTTCCGGAGCGACCACGTCTGGCAGACTGGATGTCACGGCGTGAACCGTGACAGTACCCCCCTGTCAAGAACGCCCTCCGGGCGTGAACAGGCTCTTCCTGGAAATGGTACTCCTCATCTTCGGTATCAGTATCACTAAGATAGTCTTTATAATTAAGGTATCCTTTTACGACCTGGGATTTTATGGTACAAGTTTCGGGTGCTATAGGGGAGGCATTTGCAGCTTTCAAAGCTTTTTCGAATACTTCTAGATCCTGTTTGCACACTACTGTGCCATTTGAGGCAAAGGTGCAGTCAGGTGGCAGAACTGTTTTGGCATGGCAGGAAGTGGTGATGGTGCTTGTTTGAACAGAAGTGTTATCAGGAAGAGGTCCAAATATTTCTAGAGCAAGAGGTGAAGTTTCCACAGAGGTACTAGTAACATTAACGGTATTGGTTTGGGTACCCTTTTGTGTACCAGGACGGGGACAGGGATGGCAGTGTCCAGGCTGTCTTGCTGGGATGACAGGGTAAGCCCATATGGCACCAGACAGAAGGGGTCTTGGCCTAGGTGGACGAGTCGGGCAGAGCGATATGAAATGCCCTCTTTTCCCACAGTATAGACATAGACCATGGACTCTCCTGCGATCTTTTTCCTTTGGGGGCAATCTAGTTCTGGTGAAGCCAATCTCCATGGGTTCCTCCATGTCGACTGGAGTTTCACTGCTAGCTCGAGTGTAAACAGGGTTACAAGGCGGGTCCCTGAAAGTGGGTTCATGCTTCAACATGATGGGATTTTTGTATCCATAAAACAATTCCTCTTCTCTAGGCAACCGGGTTCTGCGAGAACCTGAAGTAGGCTTGGAAGTTGCTTTTCTCGCTGCAAAACACTGAGAATCCATTGCGGACATAAACAACTCCCAGGAGTCCAAGACAGTACTTCTCTCCTGCAACTTCTGGTGTGCCCACGCCTTAATCCGCCCGGTACATAGGTTAATAGCGGAGCGTACTTTGATGAAGTCGGTGGCGTAGGTTCTCGATTTCAGGGCAAATAGTAGCTCACAATCCGTCTTGAACATCGGAAAAGTAGAACGGGAACCGTCGAACCTGTCAGGCATAAAGACATACGGTTCTGGGCATACATGTTCCGGGACTGGAAGCGTTGCTCCTTTAAATGCCAATGAATGTCTCTGCAATTCTGTAACATTTTGGGACAGGTTGGAGACTTGCTCGGCCAGGGAGGTGAGTAATTTGTATAACTCTGCGGACTCCATTGGTCAGTTCATCTGTAACGGAGTCTTACCTGATAGGGAGTCCAGCAGTTATCCAAAGTCCTGAAATGGCTCAGAGGGAAAATAGCAGGATACGTTCCAGAAGAACCACAGTTCAAATCCCCTATTGGGTGCTTCCGGAGCAACCACGTCTGGCAGACTGGATGTCACGGCGTGAACCGTGACACAAACCTCTTGCCAACCCAGTAAGGGGTCTAGGCAGCTGTTGGTAAGGAAAAACTTTAAAACGTTCTGTCATGGGAATTTTTTTTTGCCCCCAAAATCTATTCCTCTAGTTCCTATTTCCCCCAAGCATATTTTTTTGTGTAGGTCTCTGTTCTTACCTCTAACCCCTCCTCCCTCTAGTTTTTAGGGCAGGATCTTCTTCCTGTCTGCTGCCATCTGCCTTTCATTTCTCCACCTCGCTAATCTCACGCATGCCCACTCCCATGTGCTAGGGAAAGAAGAGGTTAGCTTGTGAAATTACAGATTATCGGTTTGATGTAAAGGTGAGAATTGTGGGGAAATTATGCTTGACAAAGTAGGTGGAGCTTGCCCTAAGCTTCACCCTTGGTCAGGATTTGTCCATCGTAGGAAAAATACAGAAGACAAAGTATACCCTACTTTGTCTTATGTTTTCAACAGAAATAGATCAGTAAAGGACAGATTCATAAATAGGAAATGAAAATGTGTGTGAAAGTGTGCACATGGGGTAATGTGTATGTATCATCTAAGTATTATGTTATTATGTTAGCTCCAGACTCTTACTCTAATTCCGAGCTTGTGACTTATCACGTGAATGTTATATGCTCGCATTACTTTGCTTTGTGACTTCAGATGTATATTTCTGGATTGATTTATCCATCTCCAAGAGTATGCTAGCAGTGTGAGTAAGTCTTGATGTGTATGTATTTCCTCCAGTAATTATCCCTTCAACTACCTCAATAGAGTGTTATGAATCACATTATAAACAGTGATTCATGTTAATTATCAATAAATAAAAGGTATATTAATACATTTTTGTTAATAATTCTTCTTTTTAAGGTGAACATATCATGACGGATTCACTTTAACATGAATCTCCCCCAAATGTATTGAACACATGATCAGTAGATTCTGCTCAAGCCTTGGGGATAGTAGGTTCAATACCCGGCAGGGTTGACTCAGCCTTCCATCCTTCCGAAGGTAGATAAAACGAATACCATTAAATTGGGTAATAGCAACATCCCCTGGATGTTGGTCAAAAGTAACATACCCAGGACGTACTTGGAAGCCAGAGAATATCAAAATATACCTTACCTAGTTAAACACCGTTATTATTATGATATATCACAGAGATACATGATGTATTCAATGTAAAGTTTTGAGATTTTCAGTCATCATACATCTAACCCAGCGCACCTGGCTGTTAATCTGCTATGGCACCCACCTCAGCTTCGCCCCAATGATCTGCCCTTAGTCAGAATTGATTTGCCCTGCTTGGGGGCACTTTCTTTATAGAATAGTCATAGAAGCCTAAGAGAGGAACAGACCCCAACATTGACTTGACCTGCAAAGGTCTCTTCCTTTGGAGATCCCCTGATTCAAGCAACATTCTTCTTCAACAATTCTGGTAGAAACATAATTCACAAGATTTTTTTCATTTTCTCAATAGTGAGAACTATAATACCATCTCTAATAATATGACCAAAGCAGCACAGTTCATGACATCTCTTTGTTCAGCTTCAGTCCAGAATCTCTTACTGTGTGCAGTACATGATGCAGCCGCTGATCATGACTACTACAGTGCCCTCATGATCTCTCAGGAGGGAACTCATCTCCTTTTTGAAGATCTCAGGGGAAGAAGACACTTTCCGAAGGGCAGTCTGCAGAAACAAAACCGACCTACCAGTGTAATAATGTTAAATCGGTATCTGACAGAATCTGCTGGCAACACCAAACTTGGAAAATAATTTTGCCCTTGACAACCTTGGAGCTATATCTTCCAATGTCGGCAGCACATATCTCTCCATCTTCACAGCCTCATTCAAGCATTTTACATCCACACAAATGTGAACTTTCCCATTTTTCTTAGCATCAGGCACAATGGGAGCACACCAGTCAGTTGTTTTAATGAATTCCTTAACAATATTCATGCATTTCATTCCTATAAGTTCCGCTTCAATCTGTGGCATAAGTGGGAATGGAATTCTACGAGGTGTAGCGATACTGTATGGGATTGCATCAGTCTTAATCTTTGGGCCGACACACAATTCAACAGGCCAAGATCTCCAAACGTATCCTCTATGACCTCATGCACTCTCGCAACAGAGCCCAGACTGCAAGCTGGGTTCCATCTCAAAAGGTTATTAACACACAGTCCTTTGATTACTTATACCCACAGAGTAATGTGAGCTGTAGGGCAGTGAACTTTTATCGTAATGCCCTCAAGTTGTGATAGCTATCAAGTTGTGATAGCAACGTAGCAGTTTCATGAACATTGCACGAGAAATTACATGTAATGTCCACTCCCGTATCAATCTTAAAATCCATTCTTACAGCCATTACTTTGAGTATAACTCACTAATTTGATCAGAGCCGGACTGTTCAATCACAAATCCTACAAAGGACTCCTCTGGTCACTGTCCAGGTAAATTTCCTTAACAAGGAGAGACACAGATAAGGTGGCATAGATGGTGAGACGCAGATTGAGCTGGCATAGAAGGAGAGCTGCTGATTGGCTAGCCTAGAAGAAGAAACACAGATGGTGTGGCAAGGACGGAACTCTCCATGAGGCTGGCATAGGAGAGACACACATGGCATAAATAGAAAGATACTAAAGTGGTGGCATAAAAAGAGACACTGATGGGGTGGCCTAGAAGAAGACCCACAGGAGGGGTGGCATAACAGCAGAGACCAATGGGGTCACACTGAAGGAGAGATGCAAATGAAGCTGGCATAGAAAAAGAGTTTTTCTCACTTAACATTTGCTTGTAGCGAACTAAAAAACAAAACAAAAAACACAAAATTGCTAAGTTCAAGGCATTTCTAGCCATACTGAGACTGTCAACCTTGAACTGGAGGATTTATACAAATCTGCTATTTTGGCCTTAACCTTGTAGTTTGCTTTTCATTTAAGTACACTGATTTTTTTTTAGGATAGGGCAGTGCTTTTCAAACTTTCCATGTTGGAGAAACACTTTTTAGACATGCATCATTTCGTTACACGATAAATCAGTTTTACTAGCAAACCGATTTAACTACTACTAACCCCTTATAATAATAATAATAAAAAAAAACGTAATATTCAAAAGATTATGCTCACATTGAGTTACTCATGGTTCTAACTGTGTGTACTATTTGTGATGGTTATTTAATTCAGATTTAAAAATAAAAATGCATGTAGGTCCATGTATGAATGCAGATGGCTATTTTTGCAGTCCCTCAGTCAGATGCACACAGTAATACACATATACTGTCATATACAGCAACATGCACACAGTCCCAGCCACTCACACACAGTCACACAAACACAGGTACACAGGTACAAGAAGGCACACACTTACAGGCAGACAGTCAAACATACACACACTCTCTCTCTCTCAGACAGTATGACCTGGAGGGGGGAGCAGTGGCACTGCAATCTCATTGGCACAAACACACATACACAACCAGCTCTGACACACACAAGCTGACTACACAGGTTCACTCAATCAATTTCACTTATGCACTCACACACTCAAGCTCACTATGGACAAGCTCACACTGACACACACAAGCTCACTATAGACAAGCTCACACTGACACACACCCAAGCGGTCATTTAAGTTTTCAGTGACTTATTACCCGTTTATGCATCTTAAACAGGGTTTCCCAAAGTGTGGGTCGTGACCCACTGGTGTGTGACCAGCTAACTTTGGATGGGTGACTCATGCATACATAACACATTTGTGGGGCCCTATCACAGCCTGTCACTTCCTCCCCGCTTCATAAGAGAGTGGCGCGCTGGAAGGAGGAGCAGGGGGAGGACAACCTGGGGTGGGCGGCTACAAACCCCTGCACCCACTTCAATCGATCTTAGCCAGCAGGACTCTAAGCATGCCACCCTCCTGGACACAAAAGGTATGCCAAGAGGAGGGTGGCTGCAAATATACAAATTATTACATTTATGTGTGTATGTGTCAATGTATGTCATATTGTGTGTGTATGTGTATGTGTCAAGATGTGTGTATATAACAGTGTGTGCCTCTGTCAAGGTGAGTGTGTGTATGTCAGTGTGTGTCTGTGCATCAAGGTGTCAGGTTGTGTGCATCTGTGTGCCAAAATGTGCACTTGTGTATCTGTTTACACATCAGGGAGTGTGCATGTGTCAGGATGTGTGTGCATCTGTGTGTCAGGATATGTACCTGCGTATGTGTGTGTGCATCTGTGTGTATATGTCAATGTATATAACTGTGTGTCAGTGTGTGTGTGTGTGTATCTCATTGTGTATATGAATTTGTGTGTTTTAATGTGTATGTATATCAGTGTAGCTATGTATGTATGTTACAGTGTATGTGTTTATGCGCATACATCCAAGCAGTTAAACACCAACACAGGATGCAAACACACTCCTGCAATCCAAACACACCCCTGCATTCAAACTCCCAAATTATATACAAACACACACCTTTACTCAAACACCAATACTACACACAAATCTACATTCACGTTTAAAAGCCAACATTACATCCAAACACATCCCCGCAATAAACGCAAACATTACATACAAACACACCCCTGTATTAAAACACTAAAATTATATACAAACACACCTCTTCATTCTAACATTAACACTACACACAAAATGTAAAAAAATTAAAAGTCAACACTACAAACACACACCTGCATTCATCCGCAAACACTACACACAAGTACACCACTACATTCCAATCGCAACAGTACATACAAATACACCCCTACATGCACACATATACTTCATATAAAAACATGCTTACATTGAAAAACGCTCAAACACTGCTCACAAATATAACCCTGCTAGGATGGGCAAATCCACAGTTGGCATAGTATCATTGGAATTGTAAGACAGATGGGGATCTACCTTTTCAGAAAACTTTCTTGCAACAGATACCTCTGTACATTAGTTCCGATGATGTGCCAAGTTTATTCATCTAAAGCTGATATTTCCATGATGTGTCACATGAATTACAAGCAAGTGGGTCGCAAAAAATTACTATTTTCAAAAGTAGGTCTCGGACCCTAAATTTTGGCCAGATCTGAGCTAAAACATAATTCAAAACAAGAACAATGTATCTTATTAAAGGACTATTATAGTGCCAGGAAAACATACATTGTTTTCCTAACACTATAGTGCCCTGAGGGTGCCCCCACCCTCAGGGTCCCCCTCCCTCCGGCAGGAGCCGCGCGCGCATTCAGCCAGTTCATAGGAAAGCATTTACAATGCTTTCCTATGGACGCTGGCGTCTTCTCACTGTGAAAATCACAGTGAGAAGCGCGGAAGCCCTCTAGCGGCTGTCAATGAGACAGCCACTAGAGGCTGGATTAACCCATTTATAAACCCATTTATAAATTTCTCTGAAACTGCTATGTTTATAGAAAAAATGGTTAAACCAAGCTGGACCAGGCACCCAGACCACCTAATTAAACATGACAGGCGCACAGTCGGATTTGCCGGCATATGCGCTAACCTTACCCCAACCCCCATTAAAACACGGACACAGGTTATACTGTTGGAAATAATTTGTCCACAGCTTTATTAAATTATTAATAAATAATTAAGGAATAACAAATGGGGTCATTGCCAACAAATCTTAATAATGTTAACCTCCCCATATACATAACATACCCCTAGCAATGACCCCACAATAATAACAATAGATAACAATATAAATAACATGTTAACACAGAAACTGGCCGTCCAATTTGACCACATTTCCACCAGGTTAAATTGTAGGGGTGTACCGAGACACCGCTACCCACCATATCCATTGTAGGGGTGTACCAAGACACCGCTACCCACCATATCCATTGTAGGGGTGTACCAAGACACCGCTACCCACCAGTTCCAGTGTAGGGTGTACCAAGACACCACCACACCCCCAGGTTCGGAGCCACCGACGGGCTCGAACCTACCAACCACGTGCAACACTGCCCAATCCACACTAAACCTCAGGATGCCCACTTTCTCCTCCATCTACCCTCCGATTTAACCAGGCCATTCCCCGCCGCTGTGAAAAAACGGGAAATCAACTAACCTAACCAAATACAGGGAGGGTGGGAGGGACAACTGACAGGTAAGCTTAGGTTCAGTTAAAATGGCCACTTCACATAATGGCTGGTATAAATACTCCCCTTATGGCTCCGCCCTACCCAGCATGCTAGCTGTCACTAAATTCCTGTGGCTGCTATGCCTACCTCCTGGCTCTGTCAAGGCCTATTCCTCTTAGCTGCGCTGATCCATGGGCTACAGGAACACTTGTGAGGTATGTATATAGGGTAGTCTAGTCACCATAACCACTACAGCCCGCAGTAATATTTATGGTGCCAGGAGTCTCCCAGTGCCATAAAACAGTCAAAAATATAAATTGGTTTTTTTTGTTTGTTTTTTTATTGGTTTGAAATTTACCTGGGTCCTTTGGACACCTAAGGTACTTTTAGTCGTTATCAATAGCATGGGGTTAACATCATGGTGGTAATGTGCAGAGCAGTCATGGGGGTAGCTGGCTGCATGGTAAAGTTGTATATGGGAATGAACAGTTTTGATTAATGGATTGGCTGCACAGGATGGGGTTAAAGCTGTGATAGGGACTAAGATGTAAATGGCAGCATAGAAAGAGTTACTGTAAAGGGGGTGGAAATTGAATTACTTCAGTGGAAGCTCGGTCTGAACAGAGCAAGAAAGGATGAATACAGTTTGTGATAGGAAACAGCTGGGAGGGTGTTGGGAAATAAATGGTTACATGAAAAGGTTTTAATGTGAGGACTGCACAGTGCGGAGTATGAAGGGTGACTGCACTGAATAAGTTCAATAAGAGATAAGACTGCAAAGGTGGACATGAGGGGCAATGTGCTGTATGGGAAGGGTAATAGAGTATGTGGTGACCATGGTTGGTATGAGAGGTTAATATGGACATTTAGGAGTTAAATCATGTAACAGTAGCCCATTTTCTATGCTGGAAGCTGTTGTAAACACTGTACATAAACGGTCAAGAAGGCCTGGAATTTAAAATTCTTTATCTTGACTAAAATACTGTACAATAAGATATTACCTATATATATAGAACGCTATAACAGTGAAACAAATTAGAATGCTTACCGTACTCCTGCAGCTCCACCGGATCTAGAACTCTAGCACTGAGCAGAATCAGTTATTAATCCACACAGTTCAGACCGCCCAGCAAATGTCTCCCATCCCATTAGCTAGCTCTCTCCACCCCATAAACTGCTCTATAGCTCTGCCTCTAGTGTTGATTTGTTGTGTCCTGACTGGAGGGCATACACTCATTGAAATGATAAGTACTAAACTTAAAAACTCGAAAAATCATTGCAGGGTTCTATGTGAAAATAGTTTAGATCCTGCTCGAGTGATTTTCATATTTTTGTAGCATTTAGGTTTTTCTGCATCTGATCATTTATGTATTAGGAGTCGGACAAAGGTTTTGTTTTGTATTGTGTGCATGTAAGATATAGAATATAAATCAGTGAAATTCACTTCAAGAGATGTGAACATTTACATACTGATTTGTAAACAGATGGTTTTAAATAAAAGGTAGTCAGGTCATATAAGACTGTCAATTTGGCAGATAATAAAGTTAGAAGGTTAAAAGCTTATGTTATAGGTTAATCGTTAGAAAAGTTATGGTTTTAAGCCCTTTACGCTTTGAGTTAACACCATGGCCAATCCTTTAGAAAAGTAAATAAACGGTGTCTGTGTTAATTGTGTGGTCTAATTTTATTTATTCAAAATATTGCCTACCATACATATGAAAATTGTCAGTGCTCTGTATTAATGCCCCTGTACTGCATGTATGTTGCCACTACATTTGATCCCTACACTTTACTTGCTAATTTAAAGTGTTCCTGTTATGTTAGTGGGCTGCTGGGAGCTCACCCCAGCAGCTGACAGTTTGTTTTATTGTGTTTGCTGGTTTAAGAATTTGTGGCTGTTGAACTTATCCATCTAAATAAAATGTGTCATTATTTGGATGGGGTGGGTATGAAAATGGTATGGGAATGTGGGTGCAGGTAGGTCTGTAGTCATATGTGACAGGACCCACTTTGTTGGGAATAAAATTTCATTTGTGGATTGGGTTAGTCAAACTTCTAAAACGTACAGAGAAGTAAAAATATTTCCCTATAAACTGTCCGCCTTTGTTTTAGCATAATGTTGTAAGTAAAGAGATTAAGAAGACTACATACACTGATAAGCCACCACATTAAAACCACCAGCTTAATATTGCGCAGGTCCCCCTCGTGCTGCCAAAACAGCTCTAAAGCATTAAGCCATGGACTCCAAAAGACATCTGAACATGTCCTGTGGTATCTGACACCAACACATTAGCAGCAGATCCTTTAAGTCCTGCAAGTTGCGTGGGGCTTCCATGGATGGGATTTGCTGTTACAGCACATCCCACAGATGCTCAGTCGGATTGAGATCTGAGGTTGGAGGTCAAGGGAACACTTTGAACTCTCTGTCATGTTGCATAAACCATTCCTGTACAGTTTTTGCAGTATGGAAGAGTGCAATATCCTGCTGAAAGAGGCCACTGCCACCAGAGAACACCATTGTCATGAAGGAGTGTACATGGTCTGCAACATTCTCTAGGCAGGTGTGTCAAAGTAACATCCATAGCAATGCCAGGACACAAGGTTTCCCAGCAGAACATTGCGCAGAGCATAGCACTGCATTCGCCAGCCTGCCTTCTTCCCATAGTGCATCCTGCTGCTAGAATTGTGTGTTCTGACACTTTTCCATCATGGTCACCAATAGGTTTTTCAGCAATTTGAGGTATAGTAGTTCTGTAGAGTGTGATGGGACCAGACGGGCTAGAGATCGCTACACAAGTGAATCAATGAGCCTTGGGCACCCATGACACTGACACCAACTCACCAGTTGTGCTCCCTTGTGCTATTTTTGGTAGGTACTAACTACTGTATACTGGGAACACACCACAAGACTTGCCATTTTGGAGATGCTGTGCCTGTGAGCCAGTTCTCTAGCCATCACTATGGGGACCTTGTCAAAGTCACTCAGATCTTTTAGCTTGCCCATTTTTCCTGCTTCCAAAACATAAAATTTAAGAACTTACTATTCACTTGCTGCCTAATATATCCCCTTGAGAGGTGCCATTGTAACAGAACAGTATAATTAATGTTATTCACTTCACCTGTCAGTAGTTTTAAGGTTGTGACTGAGCAGTGTGTATGGAACTCAATTAATGTGGCAACATTTCACAACTGCTAAAGAAACGCTCTTTTTACCATTACCACTACAACCCTTATGATGCCAGTAATGATCTCGTATTCTTCCAGGGTAAGTAGCCAAACTGTTAGAGAATGGTTTGACAATTTACCTGGTACCTACCTGCTGCCATTCATATCCTTCTGTGCCTCTGGAAGCAGTAGCAAGCCCAGAAATACAGGGTTAGCTCATTACCTGAGAGCACTCAATTAGCACTCCTAGCCAATGAGCCAGCCCTGCATGGGAGGGTTTAGCTCAGTGGAGTTAACAGAAGCTCCTTATAGAGAGGTGGTGACTAGGGTTGCCGTGTGGCCCTTTTGTTTTACCGGCACAGCTATTATTTTATGCTGTGTGGCCGGTGCCGTTATTGCAAAAATACAGACTAACGATACAATTGTGGGTATTTTTCTGTGAGGATAAAGTTCTGCAATATTGGCACCGGCCACCATGGTGCGTGGTGTTTGCAGGATGTGCAAGGAAGACTCGTTGGTGCCACAGCTGTGTGGAGAGGGCACAGCATGTCCCTGCCCTCTGCACAGATAGAATGGAGTGGGAGTAGCAGGAGCTACAGGACAAGGAGATGTAAGCATCATGGAAGCAGGAGTTCTGACAGCAGGTACCTGTGTGTGTTTTCAGCACCTGTGTGTGTGTGTGTGTAGCAGCCTGTATGTGTGTCTATACAGCATTCTCTGAGTATGTATTCAGCCATCTGTATCTTTGTTTTCAGCTACCTGTGTATGTATTCATCAGCCTGTGGTTATGTATTCAGCAGTCTGTATGTATGTACTCAGCATTCTGTGTGTGTGTATTCAGCAGTCTGTATATGTGTACTTGGCGTTCTGTGTGTGTATTCAGCAGCCTGTGCGTATGTATTCAGCAGTCTGTATGTATGTACTCAGCAGTTTGTGTGTGTATTTAGCAGTCTGTATGTATTCAGCAGTCTGTATGTATGTATTCAGCAGTTTCTGTGTGTTTTCAGTAGTCTGTGTGTATGTATTCTACAGTCTATGGGTGTATTCAGTAGTCTGTGGGTATAAATTCAGCAGCCTGTATGTATGTATTCAGCAGCCTGTGTATTTGGCAGTCTTTATGTATGTATTCAGCAGTCTGTATGTGTATTCAGCAGTCTGTGTGTATATATGCAGCAGTCTGAGAGTATTTTCAGCTGCCTGTGTCACGCAAATTAGCACAGCAGGTATTTTTTCTCAAAATAGGTGGAAACCCTAGTGGTGACACAATTGCTCCCAGCCGAGCCCAGATAAGTTCAAAATACAGATTAATGAACACTGCACACAAAAAGGTTTTACATTTTGTAAGGCTACTGAAAAATCACCTCTTAGCAAACACATGGGGATTCAGTTACACCCTATGGCCATATTGTGTTAAGCCCAATTCTACTTAACATTACCCCAATAAGGGTGGGACCCTCATCAAATTGACACCTCTAAAGGAGCACCTGGAGTAAAGCAGTGGGATCCTCAACCCAAAAGAATCTCCTCTGGTTTTTAAATATACAAAGAAAAAAGGGGAATTGGGGGGCACCCATAACATGCATTTCTTAGCATTGGTGATGCCGTGAAGACCAAAATATACATAAAATACAGAACAGCATACAATGGAGAAAATATGGTTTAAAATGTTATAAGGATACTTAAAGGGACACTATAGTCACCAGAACAACTACAGCTTATTGAATTCGTTCTGGTGAGTAGAATCATTCCCTTCAGGCCTTTTGCTGTAAACACTGTCTTTTCAGAGAAAATGCAGTGTTTACATTACAGCCTAGTGATAACTTCACTGGCCACTCCTCAGGTGGCTGTTAGAGATCATTCCTGGGTCATGGCTGGCTAAAATGCATCCAAACATTCAGTATCTCCTCCCTCTGCATGCAGACACGGAACTTTCCTCATAGAGATTCATTGATTCAATTCATCTCTATGAGGAGATGCTAATTGGCCAGGGCTGTATTTGAATCATGCTAATTGGCCAGGGCTGTATTTGAATCTTCCCCTGATCTGCCTCCTTGTCAGTCTCAGCCAATCCTATGGGGAAGCATTGTGATTGGATCAGGCTACCACTTCTGATGATGTCAGCAGACTGCTTGTTTTTTTGAGTCTAACAGCATGCAAAGTTACATCTTCAGGCTGAATACAGTAAGATTTTTACTATATTTATGAAGGCATGAGGGGCCCAGGGGGGCTAGATGGTGGTTTTAACACTATAGGGTCAGGAATACATGTTTGTGTTCCTGATCCTATAGTGATCCTTTAACCCCTTAAGGACTGGACTGTTTTGCGATGTTGTACATTTGCGACCAGGCCTCTTTTTACACTTTTGTGGTGTTTGTGTTTAGCTGTAATTTTCCACTCTCTCATTTACTGTTCCTATACAAATTATATATTGTTTTTTTCAGGACAAAAAGGGCTTTCTTGACATACTATTATTTATATAATCTCATGTAATTTAATTTAAAAAAAATAAAAAAATATGATGAAAAATTTAAAAAAAGAAAATTTTTTGACTTTTACTTGAAAAATCTTTTACTCATCTACAAAAGCGATTGAAAAAAACTGCTAAATAGATTCAAAATTTTGTCCTGAGTTTTAAAATACCCAGTGTTTACATGCTTTTTTGCTTTTTTTTGCAAGTTATAGGGCTATAGGTTCAAGTAGGATATTGCGGTTTCAAAACATTCATATTTGTTTGTGTGTGAAAAAAGTAAAAAACTAAATTGAATGCTAATTTTGGCCAGTGTTTGTGACTAAGTGGCTACTAAAAAAGACTGGACATACCCCATTTGCAATACCTTGGGTTGTCTTCTTTTGCAAATGGTATGCCATCATGGGGGTAATTCTCATTCCTGGGCTACCATACGCTCTCAAAGGCATTGTAGCCATTTTCAATGTAAAAATATTTGACCCATATATTTGACCCTGTAACTTTCAAAAACGCTATAAAATATGTACATGGGGGGTACTGTTATACT